ACGAGGACCAGCACGACGCCTACCTGGAGAGGATGAAAGCCGAGGGCAAGATCAGGGAGGAGGGCAACGACAGCGAGGAGTCGGACGGCGAGAGCGGTGAGTTCAGTCGGCCCGAGAGGTAAGCGGCGTGCGCCGTGTCCAGAATAGACCGGTAGGTCTGAATTCCCGTCTCTCCTCGCCCTCTAGACGAGTCGTTTAACCCCGGAGAAGAAGACGACGACATCGCAGAAGAGTAAGTGCCCCTTTTCTCTTCCGTTGCTTCATTTGGATCTGCCACCGGGGCTCCTTGCACCCTGCTGACCTCCCTCTTCCGTTTCCTCCTCTGCGTCAGGTACGACAGCAACGCGTCGGCCAGCGACAGCAGCGACGACGGGGACGACGACGACGACAGCTCAAAGAAAAAGGCCCCGAAAGTCAAAGTGGTGAAGGAGAAAAAAGAGCGGAAACCACGCAGAGAGGTGGGCGAGAGAACCCTGAGCAAATATGTGGTTATGTTAGAGAAAAGATTTTTCTGTGCACTAAAATTGCAAACTGATGTGTTTTATTTATATATATATATATTTATATATATATATATATATATATATATATATATATATATAATTATTGGCAGTTGACGTAAATCGATTGCTAGTTGAGACAAAGCCTTGCAGTTTTTGTAGTTCTCACCATGTTAGAACGCTACACATATATAAAACCTGAATCACTTCACTCTATAAGCTTTAAAATCCCGTCCTGTCCGAGCAGAAAAAGCAGAAAGACAAAGGCGGCCCCAAGAGGCCGATGAGCGCCTACATGCTGTGGCTCAACTCGAGCCGCGAGCGCATCAAGTCGGAGAACCCGGGCATCTCCATCACGGAGATATCCAAGAAGGCCGGAGAGATGTGGAGACAACTGGGCAAAGACGACAAGGAGGTGAGGCTCTGGTTTCCCAGTGATGTTTTCAGTGAGTTCAACAGCTGGGAACGTGGAACTTGTAGGTATGATCCTTTTCATTTACGTGTACAGGGAAATAGTTTTTTCTCCACACAATCATTATGAGTCTGGGTCATTAAGATCATTGATTCTTTAATTGTGATTAAAAAGGAACATTTTCGCTAGCTTTTTTAAAAATGGAGCCCTGTTTGTTTTAGGATCTTGCAGAAAAAACAACATTCCTTGCGTGAAAAGCGTGGGCCTATGTTTATTCGTCTAAACACTTTGATTTTAAAGTATGGAAAGAATGATGGCAGCCAGATGTGATGGTTTTCTTCACATGTGTGCCACATGAAGCTTGTGCTGTGCAGAGAGAAATTTTAACAGACCCAGTCTTGATTATTTCTCCCAATGTGATTTTGGTCAACCTCCTCTTCCCCGTCCTCCAGGAGTGGGACATCAAGGCGGCGGAGGCGAAGAGGCAGTACGACAAAGCAAAGCAGGAGTACAAAGAGAGCGGCGGAGGAGAAGCTGCTGCTCCAGCAGCGACATCCAGCTCCAAGAAGTGAGGCGCACAGCAGGAAACCAGTCATCAGTCTCAAATATTTGTCTTTTTAAAAAAAAAACTAAACCCCTTATCAACCATTAGGGAGAGTAAAAAATCCGGCGGCGTGAAGGAGGAGAAGAAGAGGAAGTCCGCTGGCGGGGACAAGGAGAAGGAGCGGGCGGCAGCCAACGACAGCTTCAAGAGTCGAGAGTTCATCGAGACGAGCGAGGAGAGTTCGTCGGACACCGACCGCAAGAGCAAGTCCAAGAGGAAGAAGGTACGGAATAATAAAACACCACGACCAAACACAGACCCATTATCGGATTCATCCTCCGTCTGGTCGTCTTTGTTCACCACAACGTTCGCTCGACTGAAACTTGCTGGTTTTGATTAACTCCACTTCCCGTATGATGATGCGAGTGTGTCATTCTCATTTTATTAATCTTAACACGCCTCAAACGTTAGTATTTCCATTTCTTCCCTGACCAGTGTCGACCTTGATCAGCTGACAAGCTCCTCATGCTGCCATACGAAGCGTACTTCTTGTTGTCGTTTTTATTGTAAACTAAATTCTCGGGACACAGCATACCTGACCCCCCCCCAACCCCCGTTCTTTCTATTTTGGGACCAGGAATCGGATGATGATGAAATGGAGGAAGAGGCCGTGTCCACACCTGCCAGCTCAGAGGAAGAGTCTGACTAAACACCACAACATCTATCCACCCTGCACACAGGCCAAGGACCATTTATACGCTCACACGAACGATCTGACGGACTAATCAACTTGAACTGTATTTCATTTTGATTATTTCTTTTTTTTCTACTACAAGTTTCGCTTTATGAGTACAAATGCACTTTGTGACTCTCAAAGCTCATGTGATATTCTAACTTGTTTTCCTCTTGACAGCTTTGGGAGATGAGTTCCTGAAGGGTTTTTTGAGAGCACTGAGGAGTGTACGAGTTATTCGTTGTTTCAACGTCAGTAACACAAAGAGGAGCGAATGTGAAGCTGTTTTGTTGTTAGTTTGCAGTTGAGTGTTAGTTTGTGTTTTACCATGTCATCTTTTCAGGCTTGAATAAATAAATGATTCATTTTTCAATAAAGCCGCCCTGCATTGTTTATTTGTGGTACACAACATTTGATATCATGCCGCTGAGTGAGAATCCAAACAAGTCTTTTAGTTTCTATTTTTTGCAGCTAGTTACAATTTAAATTTCCTTTTTTTTAGGGCTCTGCAAATCCAGAGTTCACCTGCATGACTCACTTATTTGGGCTGTAGATGTTGTTTACCTGAAATATAAAAATGCAATTGAATTAAAAGACCTTTAAAGAGAGGGACTTTTGAAGCGCTTGAAAATCTTCCAAACTTCACCTGCTGAGGGATATTGTGGCATACGACTAACCGCTCCAGAACACTTCTGATGTTGTTCTGTTATTCCTTCATAACTCTGAACCAGATTTTTCTGGCTCGTGTTGCTGCTTCTCACCACACGAAAGCGTCCTAACCATCCGCTCCAGAAGAGACGCTGCACATCGGGGAGATTCCCGCAGGATCCGCGTCCCCCGTGGCGCTGCACATTAGGCCCATTTAACCAGGCAGGGTGGTTTGGGAGTGCACGTCGGCACCGGAAGCTGCTTGGCGACGCTGGTGGACGTCGGATTGACGTTTTAAACGAAGAAGAGTGGGCCGAGTCCTAAAGTACACCGCGGTTTGTAAAAGAGCCGCTATGTTTGGTTTGAAGGTGGTTTCTAAGAGCTAAATGCTCCCAATGTGTGGTTTCCTTCCAAGCCAACCGTGTTTTGATGATGAGATCCGCTTCCTGCTGAAGGTCTTCAGAGTCCCCCCCCTGTTCATTGTTTGACAGACTCCTGTGCAGGTTCCTGTGCAGGGTGATTAGTCGGGATCATCGAAGTGATGATGGTGAGGACGCGGATCGCTTCCTGCTCAATGATGATCCCTTTCACGATGGTGTCCCCTTTCACTGTGGGGGGTGGGGGGATCCATCCGACAAGCCCGCACTCAGTCCTCATGTGTGTGTCCACTTCCAAAATCGGACTAATGGTGTCTCAAATTTGCCGATGTACGCGTTGCGCCGCGTGATTTGCCGGAATGCAAAGACTCTAATCTTGTGATCAGTGTTAGTCGCATGCAGCCTGAAAGCTTCTGCATGTGTGTTTGTCCTGCTTTCGATTGCGTTACCAGTAAGTGACCACAAACATAATGGGCCCACTTAAGAAATGACAAAGTCTTCAGGCACACACACACACACACACACACACTGTCATTGCATCATTACATTATCTGCACGATGTGAAAGCCAATAATGCTGTTGGTGCTCGAGGGTGTATTGAGAAGTGGTCGTATCATATGTTGCAATAATTGCACAGTTGTCAATAACAGAGTTTATGACTTATTTCCTCCTGTAGGAGCCTGTAAGTGTACAATCAGTTGTGTTTATTTAGGCTGTCGTACAAAGCAAACGTATTTGTCTGTCTTAAGGTTGTGTCATTTTCACAAGTTTTCACGGCCGGTTTCAAAAAGTCCTCTCAGATGAACTGGTGAAACCCGTCCTCAAGTAAAAGTAGAAATATTTTTATCTTCGTTTATATGTCAAATGTTTCCTTTTTTCATAAGCAAAGAATATCCAGAATAGACATGAAGACACAGTCCGTAATCTACAGAAACATTTCGTCTTCTGAATTGTTCACATCTTTTTTGGCCAATAGCAATTAGAAACGTGGACATATTTATAATCATCTTAATTGATGTTAAGCATTTGGAATTGTTGTTTTCATGTAAATTATTACTCTATATAGTTTGCATGAGACAAGATCAGCCAAATCCGTGAGCTGATTTATCTGTCGGGCTTCTGGTATTTCAAAATGTTAACTGAACCGATCTACTTTATTGTAGAGGCGACTAAAATAAAATACTTTTCTAAAACCAAGTAAGGGGGATATTGCTTGAAGATATTTGGAAATTAAGGCAAACAACATGTTCAACTCAATCTCTTTTTTTCACAAACTTTTCAATTTGAGGCAAAGGCTTTTTGAGCGTTGCCATTAAATGAAACCAACCAATAAACAGGTAATGCAATGCAGAAGCCTAGCCCTTGGTACTAATGCGTTCGGCGTTAAACAGCGCTAGATGTTGTATCATTTCTTCTGCGAGTGGTGTGTTCAGGTTTTTGGGGTTTGGATTCCTCGGGAGTCTCTCGTACCCATGAAGCATAAAGTAAGTGACCGTAGTGTACTTCAGCTAAAAGCATCAAAGAACAAAAAAAAAACACTGAAAGGATAACAGAAATGTGTCTGGAGCAGATGAAAGTGGATGGGGGGGTTATTGATTTGTGACCCTGAATAACAGTGTGTCTGTGTGTGTGTGTACCTCTGGCTTATTGTGAGAGCAAGAGGCCTGGGACGTGGGGATTTGTGGTGTCGATAGCAAGAGGGAGGGACACTGGAACACTTTCACAATCCCCTCTCGCTCATTCGAGTGAAGGAAGTGGGAGGTCCAGTTTGTCTTATAAACCAGTGAGTTCTAACCATCAAATACACAATAAAGCGGATGAACACAGAGTGAGCGACACACAGGACCACAGACTGTTCCCTCCCAGTTGAAGCAAAGTGAGCTGTAGGTTCACCACGCGCCTTCTCTTAAGGCGCCTTTTGACACTTTTGGACAGTTGTTGAAACTTTTCTTTGCTGACGAGCAGCCATGGGTTCCTTCGGGTGGGGCCTCGTCACCAATTTCTTCACCTATGAGACCACCAAGTCTGTGTTGGTCAAGAGTTGGTCCGTGGGCATCATCAACCGAGTCGCACAGCTGCTCATCATTTCATATTTCTTCGGGTGAGTGGCTGTTTTGGGTGTTTTTGGGGCATGTTGATTGATCAATCCGTGGTTTTGTGTTATCTGACCCTTTCGGGTTTGTTTGTGCAGGGTTTTAAAAGCTGTGGGATTTCTGTTGGTATAGACTTATCTTAGTATAAAAGCATCTTTTTTATCAAGCCACAAGCGTGGTTTGGGGATTTATTTGGCCGTATTTTAAGATTTCCTCCTCTAACCCTTTTACTTGCGGCTACTTTAAAAAGAAATAATTCCTGTGAAAATGTTTACAGTTTCCAACGGGCTCGACGCCGCTTGGATTTAAGTGTTGAAATGTGTCAATTTTTACCTTCATTTTATATCCAAATATCCCCTCTAGAAAAGTGTCAAACTGCTTTTTAACAGTAATACCCCAACGTAAAAAGTCTACCATTCTAAATTTGAATTATATAAAATACATGTCAGTGAAATACAATCAAAGTACAAAGAATTAAAGTACTTTAAAAAAGAAAACCCCTGTGAGTATTACATTATGCAGTATTACATCAAAAATATTTGACGTTTATTGTTGATCCATGAACAAGAAAAGTTGCATCCGGTTGACACTTTAATTATATACTTATGTATTATATACAGATATTTTTTATCTCAATAGTAACTAGTAGCTGTATTTGAGTAAAATTGTATTTACCAATAAAAAAAATGTCTACTACCATTTAAAGTAGGAGACACAAAATACTGTGAGATGTTGTTTAAAATTGGATTTCAACTTAGCCCTTTGGGATTCCCCAAATTCAACATTTTGAAATGACTTTTTAAGTGAAAACGCATCTGCCAGTAGACGAGGACGACGTGGCTGTAAGGTTGTTTAACAACACATACTCCTGTTTGGAACATATTGCAAGACTCCTTGAATTTCCTTTGTTCTTACATCTGTATGAAATAAGTAATCCATCTGCTGCAAATTCATGTACAGTGTTAACAAATTTGAAATGTTGCCAGAAATGACCAAATGGCAAACAAAAAGTTTGCAAAAAAAATCCTGACGGTGAAATCCAAACCATTTTATTTATTTAAAGTCAAGGCTGAATTTGATGTAAAAGACTGCTAATTATGCCCAGAGGCTTCATGTTCTCCCACTGAACTCTTGACCTGCTGTTCATCCCACGCGTCCGGCAGCTGGGTCTTCGTCCACGAGAAAGCGTACCAGGCGTTTGACACCGGCATCGAGTCCTCTGTGATGACCAAAGTAAAAGGCTTGGGTTACCACAACGGCCGAGTGATGGACGTTGCCGACTACGTCTTCCCCCAACAGGTGTGTGGCGAACAAAACGCGGGCCCGACCCCACACGAGGTGGACTGAACACGAAGGCTCGTTGTTGGTGTCGGTGATGCGTACGAAGCTGATGTACTTAATCATTGGCGGCTCTTTCAGGCTGCATTTCATCAAAGCGCGGAATGTAAAAATGCTCGGCTGTGTTCCAGGGCGCCGGGATCTTCTGCATCATGACCAAAGTCATCGTCACAGAAAATCAGTTTCAAGGATATTGTTCAGAGGTGAGGACACATTCAAACCTCTCCGTTCCACAGCATCGCAAAGCGCTCCGGCAGTCAGGGTCCAGGGTCAATGTCTCTGAAATCGCTTCTTATCCGGGAAACCGTTTATTTCAGCTGAAGCTATTTCAGCCACCGTGACCGTGGCCGACAGGAGAGAACACAATCATTTAAAACGTGTTCTTAGAGAGGACATTTCAAGTAAGTACTTGAGTACACTCAAGTACAGTACTTGAACTTCAAGTACGGCTTGAGTGTGTGTACTTGATATCACTCTTACATTTCCTGTTGTGTGTTTCAGGTGGGAGGAATGTTTAAATGTACCAAAGACGAAGACTGCCACAAGCACATGGGCAGCATCCTCTCCAACGGTGAGTCAGCGTTCCTGTTATTGTCGACCATTTTGAATGGTACCCAATGTTTTAGTGTCTAAGACAATGTCGGGGACAACCCTATTCGTAGCTGCTCCAGTGTTGAGCGGGAAAGTGATGCCCCGATAGACCGCAAACTCTTTGCGGCTGCCTTTGATTAAACTATAAACCAGATTGTGTCCCATTTACTGAGGATCCCGCTCTCTGTCTCACACACCAGGGGTGATTACAGGCGTCTGCGTTAACTCCACCAATGCAACCAAGGCTCATTGCGAGAGTTTCGGATGGTGTCCAGCCGAGAACGACCGAGTTGCGGTGTAAGATTCTCACACACACAATAATATGCATCTCATTAAGACACTTGGTTGTCATCCTCACGCGTTCTTCTCTGTCAACATCCTTCCAGCAAACCGATGCTGGATGTGAGCAACTTCACCATCTTCATCAAAAACAGCGTTCGCTTTCCAATGTTCGATGTCACCAGGTTGGTAACACGCAGACTCTCACCCTCACATTTAAGCGGCCGACACAACTGTGTGGAAAATATGTAATAATCAAACATAATTTGGTACCTGCTCCTTTGTGATCATTTCCTGTCATTAACATGAAGTATTTTTCTCTCAGAGGGAACCTTATCTCCACAATGACGTCCGATGATATCAGGAAATGTACTTACCATCCCGAGACGAACCCCTACTGCCCCATCTTTCGCGTGACGGACGTGCTGAATTACACTAATCAGAACGTGGCGGACCTCGCACTCAAGGTCATATCCGTCCTCCATCTCCTCCCCTTTCCTAGTTCCCCTCAAATTCCTTCAACGCGTCATCGTTGAAGGCCAACATGTTGAAGCTGCGCTGTAAACTATACACAGAGGCACAGTTGTGTCGAGATGGACGGGAGTAGGTAGCTTTTCGTCATTCCCAAGAAGACATTCACCGATGCCTTGCATGCATCAGATGCCCGGGGTGTTTAAGTAACTACAATGTTTACCTGTACGATTCGTTACTAGACGTTCAGAGGAAGCAGTTCAGCAGAGTGGCACCTTTTACTTTAACCGCCTTTGTCGGAGTATAAAACGCTCAACAAAAAATAATACTGTATTTGATTGCACAAATTCCACAAAAGCCCCGATGTGCATCTGTGTTTTCCTCACCCTTCTCTTGCAGGGTGGAGAAATAGGAATAAATATTGAGTGGAAGTGTAACTTGGATCTGGACATTGAATATTGCTTACCCAAGTACAAATTCACACGACTGGATGCGCCGTTTGCCAAGAATGCCATTTCCAGCGGCTACAACTTCAGGTACTTTTCCTCTTCGTGTTCAAATTACTTTTTTTCTTTTTTCATTTTTTGGTCACTTTCTTTTCCTTCTCTTTGAATTCAGATTTGCCAAATATTTCCAGACGGAGAATGGGACGGAATTTCGGACGCTTCACAAAGCGTTTGCCATCCGCTTTGACGTCATGGTCACCGGCAAAGTGAGTTGTGTGACTCTGGCGTGCGTCCGTGGCCGTGGTTGAATGGATTAAATATTATAGAATACTATCTATGCTGGAGAGCAGTCCTGCTGGGTGATGTTTGTACATTACGTCACCCAAACCGTCTCCATCTCTCTCGCCAGGCAGGAAAGTTTGACATAATCCCGACACTCATCAACTTGGTAGCTGCCTTCACCTCTGTTGGACTGGTAGGAAAATCCCATCAGGCTAAAGACGGAAGTGTCGGCTGTCGGCTTTGATTATAACTTTTGGTTTATGTGTCGGCAGGGTACGGTTCTCTGTGACATTATCCTGCTTAACTTCTTGAAAGGGGCAGACCAGTACAAAGCCAAGAAATTTGAAGAGGTATTTTTTTTTTTCTTTGCATAACACATCTGGCCGTCAGAGAGAGCGTCAACAAAGCGCGGACAGACATTCTTGTCATTGTTTTGTCCGTCCAGGTGTCGGAGGCTCAGATAGACGCGTCCCACGGTCGGAGCCCAGACAGCCAGCTGTCCCTTAGACCAGGTATCAAGAGCTCCTACGACTCTGGAGCCATTTCCCTCGATGCCTCTGATCAACCAGTCTGACTGACGACGACAACAACAACAACAACAACAACAACAACAACAATGTGAAGAATGGACTTCTCTTTCTCTTTCCATTGCTGCAAGAGATCCTGGTTGTCAGGCCAGTGCAGTCAGTTTTCGTTTGGCGAGCTTATGGAATCTTTGCAGTTTCGCGGAGGAGGAGTCAGAAGGAAAGAATAATCACCTGTTGTATGGCTGATACGAATAATTGGAGTTTCTTGGTTAGCATCACGCAGGCACATATTCTCCAGATGGTTTAGGAGGAAACTCAAGGGATGGCATACTCCTCAGCATTTATATAAAGCTTGGTTTCAAGTACAATAATTCTACTTGTAGGGCATTACACAGTAGTAAACTGCTATTTTAATGTCATCAGTTTCATTTTACAGCTATAATAAACTACGAGCACATGTTTGTTAGCCAAACACATTAAAGCTGTTTTCCTTTAGCTTTGCTCGAATGAACCAGAATAACAAAAAAAACATGTTGAGTATTAAATAACAATAACAGCCCTGAGAATAAAGTATTTGACTACCATTTTGGAAAATGGTTGTGTCATATTCACACTCTCAACACCCTTCCTCTCTGTCCTGCACAAATAAAAGCAACCAAATAGTCTCCAAATAGTGTAAAGACATGGTATGAGAGAGAGCGCGTGTGTGTGTGTGTGTGTGTGTGTGTGTGTTATGAGAGGGGTGTGCCGAGGGATAAATGTGTGTGTGGTTTGAGGTTCACAAATGGACCATTAGTTATCCACTTCTTTAAAATGGCACGCACTATGTTACTCTACTGCCTAAAATCCTTCTTCTTTCCTTCAATCCAAAATGTCAGTACGATTCTCTCCCGCTATTTACTCCTCTGGTTTGAGTGATTTTCTGTATTTCTTGTGTACATACAGTACTTTCTTCTCTCTGCTCCACAGTAAACGGTGACCAGGGCACTAATAGATCAGCTAAAGGGCCTCCTAATGGCTCCGACAGTGTTTTACGGGAGAAGATAGCTGTGGTCGGAGGGGGGCTAAGAGGAATTGACAGCAGTTAGCCACAAAGTTGAATGTACTAATTCAATCAGACAAATCAATATAAAATATAATGGAAATGACAGAATATGATACACGTTACTGTAAAGTACTGAATGCTGCGTCTGGTAAATCTAAATTTAAAATTGTTTTTTTTACGCTATTTCACAACAACAACAAGCACCAGTAATAATGTATATAATGTAACTGGTGTGGCTGGAAAAGGTTTTGTCTTCTAATATGTTCTCTAGTTTTTCAGGTTGAGGGAACAATGTTGACGAACACACACAACAGCGTTCTCCGACTAACAATCCGTATAGTAATTATGAAGCTGTAGCTGACCACAAAGACTGAAGCGGGTCTCCTAGTGTTGGTGTCACGGGGTTTATGTACCAGACTAGCTGCCGGCACTGATCCCCGTCAAACGCACAGAATCTCATACAAACATACATACATGACACAGAAAGAAAGCAAACACACATTGTGCAACATCTCAAATCATTCCTTTCATATTTGTCTCCCGTGTTGGGAGACTCAAACGGAAGCATCACTTAAGCAACAGTCCCGCCATTTAAAAACAACATCATATAATAAAAAAAACAATCCTATGGTGACTGCAAGCAAATGGCCTCAAAATAATGTTCCAGCCCTTCATGAGCTGAACAGAGAGCAGCAGACAAGCAGAAACCACCATTAGTCTGCCCGCAACGTTTCAGCTATAAGTCCCTTCGCTCTTCTGGGGTTCATTTTCCAGAGAGACACGTCTCAGCACAGGCAGGAGAAGCACAGCAACTCTCATAAACATCAAGTGGGAGAATATTTACTCCAGTAACCTGATCAACTAAAGCGTGGTCATACTTGTGTTATCCACACTGAGATTCTATAATACACGATAGAGTCCAGATGGACGGACAGAGACGAGAGCGGCAGCAACAGCTGACAGGACGACAGTCCTTCTTTATCCATCTAACACTTGATCCATGAACATTTTGAGCGCTGATGTTCTTGGCGGCGGATGAGGAGCGATTAGATGCGGAGGTGCTTTTAATTGTCCAGTAAGAAGAAGTTTCCGGCTGTGCAGTCTATCTGTGCTTCCTCCGCGTGTTCCTCCTCTTCAGAGCCTGTATCCAGGCAGGCAGAGCAGCCCGGCGTGGGGGGGCTGACACCTCCTCTATGGCTGCCTTCTGCTCCTCACACTCCTGCGGTGCCACAGAGTCCTCCTCGTCTTCAGGATCCGAGTCCGAGTCCGTAGCGTACGAGTCCAGCGCCGGGGGCTCTATGGCCACCACCTCTTCTGCAAAATGAACCCGCCGCGTCTCCTCAACTCGCCTCTGATCCAGAGAAAAACATGAGAGACAAGGAAAAATGAACAGTGGAAATATTAGGTATTTGCAATGTTGCATATGAGAAGTTTACAATGAAACTAAAACAAATAATGAATTTGTATTCATATGGGATTAAATGAATCATTTATTTTAAGATCGTCATTATTTTCTTGGTCTAGTTAGTACCAAATTACATCATTATTTTCAGGAAATAAATGTTTAACGTATTTAGAAACCACACTGAAATGAAAATCTATGCGTTGCCAGTAGTCTATACTTTAAGAAATATATTATCAGTGTGACAACCCAGTGCACACCCCAACCTGCTTCAAATTAGCATGTTAAATGTATCTCACTTTGTGTCAGCTTACCCTTTTCATTACAATTTCCACGGAGGAGTCCCGGGATATGGAGTGTTTGAGGACGCCCCGGGGTGCAGGGGCGAGAGGAGCACATGCGGAGCTCAGGGTGTATGAAGGCACATGGTCGACACGCTGCTCCTCTCCGGTCTCCTCCATCACGTGGATGTCTGTTAGGCGTGGTGACGGTATCATCCCCTCTGTGAGACGAGAGACGAGAGAATTAAGTCTTCAGCTACAACCAACTTCACCTCCTTCAACTCTCTTGTCGTGAAACATGTGAATAGTAATAGTGTTTAGTTGTTCTGACCTCTTTCTGCCTCCTGACCGTTGTTTATTCCCTCCATGGGAAGCATCTCGTCTCCGTGATACGGCCTCTTCCTGCAGCGTTGGACTCTTTTCTTCAGCACTGAGTTTTCCAGAAAATTTTTAGGCTGCAACAAAAGACAAAGGATTACGTGGTGACCACCTCATGTGTGAAAATAAAATTCATTGGAGTTGTGGAAATGTGCTTGTTTTAATTTTAGTTCTATTTTTAAAAGAACCAGATGCAAATATGCATTATCGTTCAGCTCTAACCTCTGCACACGAAGGAGGTCCACGGGTGTGTCCGTGCTCCATTGGTTCTGCTTGACCAGCGTCACTGTGAACGTGCCGTACTGCATCTGGCTTTGCTACTGAAACATCCATGCTGACGGGTTGGAAAGCATCGGGCGGCATGAAACCTGAATCTGGGGATGCCGCGGAGCCTCTGAAGTCCCACTGGTTGTACGCACCTCCTTGCTTGTTAAAAATCACAGGTGTTTGACCGCTTTCATTAAGACTTGATGGGATTTTGAGTCCTGGAGGTCTCGGATTTGCCGAGGCGGCTGATTGGTTGGGATTTAGGAACCTGGCCCACTTTTGACCCGTGACAATCTCCTCCAGTAAGCTAAAGGAGCCGAGGCCAAACTGAAAGTTGGTGGCTGATCTGGAAAAAAGAATTGAAATGACCTTAGCCTAAAAAAAGAATTACATTTAAGTCAGGTCAATTTTATTCAGTTCTAATCAATCCTACATATGTCTTCAGACTGTACTCTTTAAAGCACCAAATATGTGTCAATCAATAGATAACTGATAAGTATTTCCCTTGCTTTATGTTGAATACAACCTGTATCTTTCGGTCTCAGAGAAAAAAAACCCCAATTAGTACGCAGTTGACTAATATTTGCTCAAAAATCATCGTTCAGCTCTATGAGGACCTGTGTGTTCATGTAAGCATGTCTTTTTTTTCCGCGATGTTCCCGATGATGTGATGACACTTATTGCACCATTAAAGTGTGACTGCAGATGGATGATAACACACCCTGTGACAGGGGTGTGTTTGACACATTACATCAAATAAATTAGCCGAAACTAACATTAAAGCTATTCTTGGACGCGTCTTTAAAAATACCTGACACATCTTCCAACCTGTTGCTAAGGATCAAACAACCGCCTGTGTCTTCGGAACTGGTTTGAGTGTCTTCTTTTACGTTTCGTACCCCATACATCCTTCGCTGGCGTTGTCCGTGCGAGTAGGAGGCAGGCTACCGGGATCACTGCTGTCGAGGGAAGGAAGGGGCCGTTCTTCCACCTTATTTGCTGTCTCGGCGACCCTTACTGCTGTGAACAGCTGGTTTTGAAGGGAGATTTAAGAAATAAAAAAGTTTTAGTCGTTTTTTAAATAACACACTGAGTAAATAAAAACATCCACTACTCACTTCAGGTCCTTGCTCATTTTTCAGGTCTAATGTTATTCCCTTTTTCCCCCCTCTGTTGCTCAAACTCCCCGGCCTGTCCCTCCATCTCTCCCTGATCTTCTGGGGCCATCTCTTCCTTTTAGTCTCAGACGATGGCTGTGTTCTTCTTGAACTACTGTTTGTCGCAACGTTCTGCATGTCCTTATTTTTTGTCGGATCTCCAAGCCCCTGTCCCATCGTCACCGCAGTGCTGCCGGAACTGCCCCCCGCCCCATCAGTCCTCTCAACGGAAGTGATAACAGCATCCTTGAGTGACTCGGCGGGAAACAGCTGCCGCGTTCCTGTCGGGATGATACCGGGCTGAGTGGCATGTCCCAGCAACCTTCCCTCACCCGTGTCGGCCTCGATGTCGTCTTTCTGGGAGGGGGAGGAAATAAGACCCTTGTCCACTTCACAGCAACGACCCGGTGGTTGTATTTCCCTGGTTCTTTCCGCAGCAGAGATCCCAAACACCCTCGGCGGGATCCCATTGGCACCAAGCTCAAAGTCATTTACAGGACGGCCGTTTACTTTGCGGATGATGGAGCCTCCTCTTTCCGCTGTGCTGAGTGCAGGTGGGTGCCGGTATTCCTGGGCCTCTTTTCCCGGTTGGAGCTTCAGTCTCTGCAGCATGGACTGCAGCAGAGACTGGCTGTCTTTTGGATCATGTGGCTGAGACATCTAGGAACAGAACTGCTGCGTGTCAAGTCCAGGATTCACAGAAAAGTATGTCAACAATGAGAGTACGCACAACCAACAGAGATGGATTCCACACAGTCATACCTAATACGTCAGCCCTCAAGACTCCTGCGATGGTGGTTTCCGTTTGTTTTCATATTTCAATCTTTTTCCATTATCTTGTCAGGAGTTTTCTCAACCGAAATGTCGTAACAGGTCCATCTGTTACAGTTGGAATTCCTCTGCTTGAATGTTAAGTTTCCTCATGGATGTTTTGCTTTCATACTCCAATCCTCCCGTATCCACAAAAGTTTCAGCAGCCATTTGTCCCTTTTTGTTTTGTCTTGGCGCAAAGCTTAACTGGACTTAAAACGATTCCTTTCGTCCTCTCGTGTGTTTTCCTTTTCACGAAACGTCCATGGTTTCAGTACACAAATGCTGTTTTAGTCACACCTCTTCAGCAACAGCCATTTGTATCAACGGAGATGGGAGGAGCGTTGCAGCGTTCCTCAAACTCTAAAGCAGGCCAACGAGAAAGACCAGTGAGGTGAGATCATTTTGACAGTCTCAGTCTCTCTCCCCCTCTCTCTCTCTGTCTCTCTCTCTCTCTGCTGTTACTTCCTGCCCATTTCTCTCCCTGGCTCACTCTACATGCACACACACACTCTTATTTTTATTTTTTGTATTGATTTATTTTGTGGAAAAAAAGACAGGTAAAGACAGGTCTTTACCTAAATTTATGTATAAATACAAGATCAAAATATCTATGAAAATATATTTAGTGGACTACACTACTGGAGACTGGAGAGTAGAAAAAATATTTTAAAATGTCATTTAATCAGTAATGTTCTCAATAAACACAAAAACGAAAATCTAAAATAGCGCCATGTACATAAAGTAAAATATGAATTACTTTATGGGTTGACTTGATTAATTTACACAGGTCTATGGATAAAGTGGTGATGGAAGAGTTACTTAGATCCTGTACGTAAGTAAGAGTAGTAATATCACGATGTAAAAATAAATAGAAGTCCTGCATTTGTAAAAGTTCTGCATTTGGGTATCTTCATAATTTAAAGTAAGAAAGTAGGCCTATTCTCCTTTAAAATACGCTTAAGTAAACACAATTTCAAGTGATTATGCAGAGTGCATATAATTATATACAAAAATGATATTATTGGATTAACATTAGTGTTTAATTCATGTGAAAGTGGTATTTTAAAGGTTTCAGTATCTGCCTAAAACAGAAGTACAAGCTTAAAGTGGCATAAAATGGATATACTCCACATACACGTTAAGTCAAGGAGGCTCAATACACTAATTGGCTAATAGTCTAGCTGAATTTTATACAATCATTTACAATATTTCATTTATTTACAGAATAACCCCATATCAAATACTTTTATACACAGTCATGCATTTAGAGCGACGCGGATGGCCACTTAGAAACACACTGCGCATGCGCCTCTTCAACCACGCCCCTTTGGCTTTCAGCCACTCTCATTGGTCCTCAGCGAGGCAGCGGGTAATGGCGGCGTAAACAACGCAAAGTTGGTTGCGAGATGCAGCTTAGACGAACTAAAAATAAAACATAAGCGTCGACCTATAACTCAACGGAATATGTTTTTGATACCAAGAAGATTCTTGCTCGCTGTGCTAACTATTAAAACCCCCATAATTCCGGTTTTGGTTGCGTTTAGCCGCTAGCTCCGGCTAACTTTTAGCGCACTTTGCTAACTTAAAGGAAAAGTAAGGTTAACGACCGTTCGTCAACCGAGATGGATTGCGTCGTGACGGGAGGAAACGTGAAAGGTAGCAAATCCCCGCCTTCTTTGAACCTGTTTTCAACTAACGTAACACAATCAGTAAACCAAAAAACCCGTAACATTAGCTCTTAATCTTCTCGTTACGTGTGTGTGTGTGTGTGGCTGTGTGTGTGTGTGTGTGTGTGTGTGTGTGTGTGTCTGTGTGTGTGTACCGTCCAGTCTTGGCCAAAGCCATCAATTCTCTGTCCAGGATCGGAGATGAGCTCTATGTGGAGCCTCAGGAAGAGGGGGTGAGCAGCTCTGACACCGTCACATACACCACCACTTCCTCCTGTAACGCATAAAGTCTTGTTTCTTCCTGTAGGTGCAAACTTTGCGTCAATGAGTGGTGCTGATAAGCGTTTTTTTCTCCCCTCTCTCTCTCTCTTGTAGCTGGCCCTGCGGTCTGTGAACTCCTCTCGGTCGGCATATGCTTGCTTCCTGTTCGCACCACTCTTCTTTAGCAGGTGCAGACTGTGTGCCTGCGTTTAAACTGCACTGTGATGTGTGTGTGTGTGTTTCAGAGAGAGAGTGAGTCACTAAACATCACATATTAGTGTGTCATCTTTAATGGGAGCTTTTGGCCAACTCTCCTTCCCGTTTCTTTGTGCAGGTACACCATCCCGAGGGGACACACCTTCCGCTGCAAGATTGCAATAAAGGTGTGGTGAGAGAAAGGGTGGGGTTTTAATTCAAGCCTTCATACAGTTAATCCATCGCATATAATATATTCACACATTTAAAAGGACCATCCTTCCTGTCATGTTGCTACTGTGGTACGACCTCGTCATCGTTGTGCCTTTTGATCTGGGTGCTTTCTTTTTTGAACGTTGGTACATGGCATGTGCCAGTTATATTATCACATCTAAAGAATATGCTGCAAGAGTAAAACAAAGTGTAAAGTGAAGTGCATAAAAAATATCCGTAAGTGGGATTGAAATGTTGTCATGGCAACTTCAGTGTGGACATTTGTCTTAACTGGGTTGTTACCAGAATATTTCAGTGCACATTAAAGTCATGGCGTTTTATATACATTTTTTCCCCCCTTCGTATCATATTCTGTGTGTAAGTCAGAGTGTGCAGGCCGTATTCAGGTCCCTAGCAACTCTGGAGAAGACGGTGGAAAAGTGTCATATCGAGCTGGACGAGCAAAAGAACCGCCTCACCTTCACCCTCCACTGCAAACACGGTATCTGTGCTTCACTTCCTGCTCACATAATTCACAAGGATCACATATTATTTGTACTGACGCATATTTGAGTCATTTAAGCACATCGTTCACTGTGTTTGTGTTTTTTTTTCTTCTATGCAGGCCTCATGAAGACGCATAACCTGTCTTTCCAGGACAGCGAAAGCTTACAGGCCGTGTTTGATAAAGACAGCTATGCCAATGTATTCAGATGCAATCCCAGGTCTGTGAAATCTTTTAATATTTATCTTACAAAAATATTAGAGAACCGATCTTTCTTTGTCTTTTTCGACTTGAACTCGTTCTCTCTGTTTTTTGTCCATTGCTTTGTAACTGGTGCAACTTTGTAAAGTAGTGGTTCACTTTATTTCCTTGTTACTCACTCACCTCTTGCCTTCCTTTAAACTCAGGCTGCTGGTGGACACAGTTGTCCACTTCCCTCCGTCTCTAGAAGAAGTGACGGTGTCAGTGAGCGATGAACGGATGTGGTTCAGGAACCATGTGGAGGAGGACGCAGGTGACTCGTTTTTTCCACCAAGAAGTTAAAAAATTGTGTTTTAATTGGTTTTATTACGTTTATCAAGCAGTAAACCAGGTATTTCCAAATCTTTCCATAAAAGAAAAGAAAAAATGGTTTCTTTTTTTTGTCTTACTAATCAACAAATCCTTATCTTTTCAATCAGGCTTTTTATTGTGAGAAAACTAATGATGTTATGTAAAGGAAAGTCACTATTATGTTAATGACATGGAGATGTCAATGCAAAGAGAAGAGGCTGAATCTGAAGCCAGTGTTGCCATTGTGTGGTAGAAAGGCAGAACAGCAGGTTTGTTCTGTGTCGTCTCCGTTGTCATTGGCCAATAGCAGAAGGCTTCTCCACTCTGCTTGCTCACAGCAATAGAATACAACAAAGAAATACAAATACGTCTAATAATAAATCCTTTTTTCTCATCCTTTCACTCATACTTACACTCTGTTTCCCTCCCAGACCAGTCGAAGGCCATGCTGACAGAGCTGTGTCTGGCTTCTGAGGAGTTCGACCATTTTGGTGTCAAAGCCCACAACGGGGTGACCTTTTGTCTGAAGGAGTTACGGGTAAGAGGCCGGGAAAAGGAAGGAGAGGGGGGGTAGAACAACAGAAGGATTACATTCCATTACAGGTCATTTGGCTGATGCTTTTATCCAAAGCGACTTACATTACATTATTAACCCATGGCTTTTTTACATTTTGGCCCGGCGAGCAATTAGGGGTTAGGTGACGCGTGGGGAATATGTCAGAGGGACGAGTGCACATAATTAGGAGATAATCCGGTCAATTTTCAAAATAAAACATTTTTCAGAAAAAAAAAATATATAAGCTTTCTGTGGTGCGGCCCGGTACCAAAAGGCCCACGGACCGGTACCGGTCCGCGGCCCGGTGGTTGGGGACCACTGTTCTAAGGGGGGAGGAATCCTTTGGAGGAAATGACACTGAGGGCAGTCAGTTAAACATATGTCATTGTGGATAAAAAGAAAAGCAACAAAAGAAAGACTTTTTATCAATTAACTCATCAAGAAGATTTTTTAAAAGTTTGTTTTTGTCATCTCTCCTCCAGGGTTTGCTAGTGTTTGCAGAGTCCACTGGTCTCCCTATTTCTATGTACTTTGATGAACCGGGCAGGTAAACCTTCTCACATACATATGTTAGTTAATCACATGGTTAACATTGTAGTGACGTTAACATTGTGTGTGTGTGTGTGTGTGTGTGTTGTTTGTTGTGTTCGTCAGCCCCGTAGTGCTTTCACTAACAGACAGCGTACTGGAGGGGAACTTTGTGCTGGCCACACTGTCCGATGACCCCAACCATCGTAAAAACAACCCCAGACGGTAAAGCTCAAACAAAACAAGAGTGCTTTTTCATTATTACAAATGGTTTCTTTTGGAGGGGCAGTAAATTCTCAACGTATACTCTGCACAGACATTGCAACATTTTTGACATTGTTGGATGTTGCCTTACTTTTGCCACCTTCTGGGTGCAATAGTCAGTTGACTGCTAGATGCAGATGTTCTTGGCAACACATCTGTCCAGCTGTAGAGCATTTGGTTTGTTGCAAAGTCTAATTACAGTTTGGTTGTCAAGCCTCAGTGATTCAACACGTACAATTTAGTGCAGTGCAAAATGTATAAAATAATGAAATCTGACAATGTACAGATGTCATAAATGTACCAACGGGAATTTTAGTCTTCACTTCTCACTGGTAAGATAATAAACATGGCGGATTTGTATTATATGCATTTGTGATATCCTTCAAAAATAAACTCAACACAAGTTTTGGCAGCTCGCTAGCCGGCCCATCCAGGACGATACGGACATTACTTCCAGCAGACTTTAGAAAAAGTGTCATTTGGATGAGCATGGACATCTTTACCCTGATGATACTGGTAAATATACTCCGCTCTCTGTTCAGAACTACCACGAACTTCCTGTGTGATCTCCTCAGAGCATGCACGCCACCGCCGCCGCCCCCTCCGGATGACTTCATGAATGACGACATAGACTGCTACCTCATCGCCATGGATACCAGTATCGCGCCAGGTCCTTCGGGCGCCGGTCCGCCCACACCCCCATTATCTGATTCTTTATGTTCAAAACCGAGTGCTGCAGCCAATCACAGGACGAGGCCACACAGTGAGGAGGAGGAAGATGAAACAGCTGATTCCGGCAGACCACCTAATAAGAAGGTGCGGTATAGTGTTCACATTCATGGGTTACCTCATTAAAAGGCTGAAAATGGAAAAAGCTGATAGATTGATAAACAGTTTGATTAGATTACTTTGCTCTTTTTTATAGTATAGTATAGATAGTATACAACTAATCTAAAGCTGTTTTAATTTCTAAGAACACACTCTCATGGTTTTCTTCTCTATTTCACCTCTCGCAGTTCTGTTCCTTGTTCTTTGGATCTGTGCTGCCCGCGTCCTCTCAGATGACCACTCAACCAGTGACAAGTCAGCAAGTGTTGGCCAGTGACAGCGAGGAGGACGTGCAATGAAGCTACCTTTGTCGTTTACACACACACTGCAGCACTGGAGAAGAAATCGACGCCTTGAACCATCATTTTCATCTTTACCAGCCCGCACAACTGTTCTACAGGGAGTGTTTTCTTTTTAAGACAGTACAGAAAAGGATATTACAATGTTTTATTGGACTATAATGTTGGAAATATGGGATTATGTGAACCTGGACATGAAGCACTTCCTGTTTATTTTTGTTCAACGTCTGTTGGGTTTGTGATCTAGGTGCGACGAAAAAGCTCTAAATAAAAGACGCATATTTTTCAAATTATTTAAACATTATTTATGATTTATTTACATGTCAAAAGGTTCAAGTGTGACAGAGATGTATGATGATCCGTATGAGTTTGAAGCACTCTGTAAAACAACTCCTCATTCCTCCGGATCCGATAAAAGAATATATTTTTCAGTTTTTTGTCAAAAGTACGATTCAGTGTAAGAAGAATGGCTAAGCTTCTGTGATGCCGTCTGTGCAGGTTGAGTCGCATCACTGCTCCCTTTCTCGCTCTGCGCCTGGAAACTCTTCCCCCTCGTCTGTGGTTTCTTCCTCTCTCGTTCTTTCTCCTTCCCCAGCTCCTTCTCTCTCTTCTTTTTCAACCTCTCCTCCTCCTTCTCCCGTCTCTCTCGGTCCCTCCGCCGCCGCCTCCTCTCCCTGGAGCTCAGTTTCTCTTCTCCCTCTTCCTCCACCGGTTTCCCCGTGCCGGTTACATCACTGAAGTCCTGAATCAAGATTTTGGGGATTTGCATTTTGGCTGCCTTTTTGGGCTGTCCTCCCCTCAGCCTGCGGAAGAGACCCAAGCGTTTTGGGGGGTCAGGCTGAACCGCTGGAGTCGCTTCTGCAGACAAAGACGGGGAGACTTCTGCGGTTACGTCCGAAGGACTCTGGGTCGGGTTTACCGCTCCGGGGTTGGACTGTAATTGGCCGAGTTTAACCTGCCGATTAGGAGTTGATTGTGATTGGCCGGTTTTCTCTGGCATGATGAAGAGATCTTCAGAGAGTCGATGCGCTAACCTGGACCCGCTGGAGTTGGACGACTTGCGGACGCAGAAGTCCCCAGAGGACCTGCTGCTTCGATGCCCCGTGGCTGGTGTCAGGCCCCTGTGAGCCGGCTCAGCCTGGTCCCTCACAAGCTGAGAATCTTCGTCCTGGACCTCCAGGGTTCTGTTAGCGATTGGTGGGTCTGTTGGTTCGGTGGAAATGGGGACGTTGTCGTCTCCTACCGTGTTTCCTTGAGGAGTTTCTGGGCTTTCCTCCTCCACGGCACCGACAGTGTCCTGGATGATAGACGGTTGTTGGGGTGCAGGCTCCTCTGAGCTGATGGTTTCAACCGAACTATTCTTCCCATCAGGCCCGGCGGCTGTGAGTGGCCCTGCTCCTGCCTGTGTTACTTCCTCCTCTAACTCCTCCTGCGGAGGTGCTATCAAGTCAGTATTCTCCCTTTCCTCAGCTTGTGTCTGGGAGTGTTCACCCAAACATCTACCTTCTTCGTCCCGTGAAGGTTCAGAAGCTTCTGCGTCACCTTCTTTGTCAAAAGCCGCGCTTGACTCTGTCTCTACGTGGTTTGGTGTTTCTACTTCAGTCTCCGTATCAGCTGCCAGGTCCGTGCTGTCTTCTGGTTCAGTACATGGCGGTGAACAAAGTATCAATGTTCCTGCCTTTGAGTCTAGGTGTTCTTCTGAAACCATTTGTACCATTTCAGTCTCTGATTCCTGTGCGGCTGGATTTCCCTCCAGCTCTTCTTGAGTCCGTGCCAGTTCAATAGTTTCTTTTGGTGTGTGGGACTCTACTTTCGTGTCAGTTTCTGTCAATGACTCACCGCTGTGGTAATTGTGTTCCAATGTGTCTCCCCGTGGGCTTGTGCCTGTCTCTGCGACTACTTCTTGCTGTCGCGTCTCCGTCTCTCCTGTGGGATCTGCGACGGTTACCTGACTGTCCGTCTCTGAGCCCGGGCTTCTCTCGGTTGGGCCCGTGTCCGCCTGAGTCTTTTGCCCATTTTCAGTTTCTGTGCTCTCCACCGGTTCCACGTCGACCTGAATCGTCTGTTCCTCGCTTGGCGATGCACCTTCCCGCGCCTCCACCTCCGTGTTTTTATCAGCATCAGCATCTTCCTCTATCTCAGGCGGAGTTTCCACCTCAGCTTTTGCACATCCGCCTCCTGACGGTTGGTTTTCCGTCGCTTGGTCTGAGTCTTTACCATGAATTTCTAGGTGCTGGATTGGATGTCTCTGGTGCTCCGGGACGTGCGTCCGGCTGTCAGGGTGCAGCTCGTCTCCCTGTTTGTGTTCAGCGGTCTGATCTTCGGTGGGACCTTCACTTTTGTGCGCCTCCACGTTTGTTTCTTCCTTCTGCTCCGAAATCCCTTTGCTCTCCTCGGTCCCGATGAGTTGGTCCTCCTTCCCAGCGATGCTTGTTTCCCCCCCGTTTCCAATCCGTTGTTCTGCAATAACCGTTTCTTCTACGTGCTCTGTCGGCACGTTGTGGATTTCAATCATCTTAGGTTCTTCTAAAAGTTCTTTGTGTTCCCTTTCTTCCGTCAGTTTCAGCTCCTCCTCTTCTTCGTGGCTCTCCAAAACTGCGTCGTCGTCCTCCTCTTGAACGCGCGGCACCTTCTTAAAACGGAACTCAGTCCAGCTCCTCCCGTCCTCCTTCGCTCCCATCGAGAAATGCCTCACAACTCGGCTGCCACCGCCTTCCCATTCGCGCGTGTTCGCCTTTGCCCCTTTCCACCCCTTCTTGTGGAGGAGGGACGGAGACAGCGAGAGGGTGGAGGCCGAGCGAGCGAGAGGGACGGACAGGTTTCCTTTCTGGCGCCGCTCCTGCTCCCTCGCCCACGCCATCCGGTATCCATGGCAGCGACCTCTGGGGTCGAATGTCGACGAGGGTCTGTCTTTCCTCCACCTTTCTAACTCCTTCTCCGTCTGCTTCTGCAGATCTCTTCCTGACAGCTGCACCGAGCACACCTGAGAACAGGGGGGGGAAAAGACACCGGTGCCACTTTACATTACTGTCATTTTACCATTTTATTTTTTATCATTTCAAATTTTACCCAAATTTTAAATGATTTCTTGATTTCAACACAGCCGTTCAGTTTGGTGGAAATCCGGTTGCTGCAAAGGCCACGACAACTACCACTCAGGGACACCTTGTGTTTAGTTATCCCAGAAGAGTACAGGAATAGTTTCCAACCTCCCAGGTTTGCCTGTAATATGCCAGGAAAATTTCGTCGAGCTGTGTAGAAGCCTCCACATTCATTATGTTTCTTTAGTTACGTTTTCAATCGCATTTCTATGTGGTTCTGTTTAAAAGCTTCAAAAATATAACTAGGTGAACCTTGAGGTCAGGTTGTTTAAACTGTTTAAAAACAGTCCCCTCAACGCCACCACAACGCCTGTCCTTCGAACCTCGGCTATGAAAGCGTTGTCCTCCTCTTGGACCTCCTCCCTGACGCCTCTCAGCCTCTCCAGAGTCTCCATCTGGCCCTGACACCGCTTCCTCAGCTCGGCCCGGCCCAGCACCCGGCGCACCAGCACCACCGCCACCTGGAGCAGCACCCGCACCCCTGAGAAGACGGGAGGAGAGGAGAGGTAGTGAAGAGACGTGCCACATTAACGTCGCACAAATCACTCTGTATGATGATAGTTCCTTATGTTTTATAAAGTTGTGTCTTTTTTTACAGGGATGATGACTAAAATAAGTTGCAATACATCTAAGCCTGTTAAGTATTTTTAACCACAGGCGACATAACTTGCTGTGTATCTCCACCCTTAGCGCACAGTTTGAGGTGGAAATTGAGTGGGTGGAGGATGTGCTCTTCTACTGAGGCCGCAATGCTTGCGGTGGCCTTAATGTTTGATCCTGCGAGGTTGTGTTTGGTTATATGTGTGACTGACAGAAGCAGAATGGCCCGAAGAGTCCTTTAAGCTGACAAATCTAATATAATGCTATTACAACACAAGGCATAATGTGATAGAGATTATTGTTTCTGAGAAATTCCATTTATTTTGCCTCCTTTTCAGAAGATACTTTAGTTTTCATAATGGGGGGGGGGCGTACCATAGCAGAAGAAGAGGTCCCAGACCCGGAGCAGTGTGTTGAAGGGCAGGTGGCGTGTGTAGAGGCACATCAGCCAGTCGGTGGCGAACATGAGGGGCTCCACTCCGTGGTGCTGCAGGTGTTTGTGTGCAGCTGGACACGTCCTCTTCAAGACCCAGTTCAACATGGCCGCGTCAAACAGGACTCCTTCCTGCGGAGGTGTGCATGCTTAGACGGCTCAGGAGGTCTTTTTTCGGGTTTCTTGTCAAATGAAGTGCAGTGATCGGGTATCCATTGTTTTCTAATTGCGGTGCACAGATGAGCTGTGTGTGTGTGCGCGTGTGTGTGTGCGTGTGTGGAGATCCTCACCAGCAGAGGACTGTAGTATCCAGGCAGGTACTGCTGACTAATCTCCACCAGACACCAGAAGGCCTCCTGACAAGGAGACATGAGGGCAAATGGAATGACAATAAGTCGACATGATGCAATAGCCCCTTTATGTTTTGCACAGTTATAAATACACTGTTTTTTATTGTGTTTGTGGGGCAGTAATTCTCCTCCTCTGAAATCCAGGCTAGTGGACTGTTTTAAAGATGCGTCTGCAGCTTGTTTGCTGAGCAGAGCGATCGACGGTGCTGTTGATGGCTACCTCAGCAGGCATGTTCATCAGCAGCACTGCAGCCACAGGCCCCTGCGCCTGGCAGTAACCCTCCTCCGGTTGGTACTGAGTGAAAGCTTTCAGCACCCGGAACAAGCCCTGCTGCCTACACACAAACACACCACAGGAACCAGTCACACAAACCACAGGCGCATGATTCTGTTGAGACATTCTGTATATCCTCTGTTTTTCAACAGAGAGACACAAAGTTGGCAGGAGTATGAAGACGGAGCGGTACCAGCTGGGAAACAGAAGCCGACAGTAGTAGAGATGTTTCCTACCCGTGTCCATCCTTTGAGAGGAACATTTCATGAAAAGGGAACTGTCGGTCCAGGTCCCTCACGATCACGTCCACCCAGCTCTGCAGAGCAGGCTGCGAGTCCAGAGACTATCGCAGTGACAAAAGACTGTTGAAATCATCCATTTACCAACACTAGACTACGAGGGTTTTAGGTTACAGGGTAGGTGACTTATTAATGGCTCTATACGTATTGCACTGTGATGAACCTAATTTTTTAACAGATTGCTTTGTCAGTTAGAAGAGATATTGGTTTACTGTGATATAAAACTGAGAATAATAAGAAATTCATACATTTGAGATGCCAGAACCAGAACATTATTGTTTGAATTACATTTACGGTTGACACATTTCAGATGTCAAATTGTTGTTGAATCGTACGCAGTTGCTGCTGATTTGAAAGCATTTGCCACAGTGAAAGTGTTTGTTTTTTCTTGCCTGGTAGAGGTTTTCGCTTTGTTTCATCTTGTCAGTAGCTCCGCACAGCAGAGGCCAACACTTGGCCCGCAGAGAGGCCGGGATGCCTTTCTGACACTGCACTTTGACCTGAAGGGACGTCGGTAACAGACACGGCATCAGCTCGGTGCAGTCAGACTCCGCTGACTACATTTCATTGTTGTTTGTGTGAATGCAGGACTTGTTGACACATAAGGGGGAAAGCACAGGTGTATTATAACGTTAAAAAGGCCTCTGTTCTATTCTAGTGTCTACTAGTGTCCCAGTAAGACAGGACACTGGGACAAGGGCCCAAAAGTCATTTACTTTACTGTCAACTGTTCTTTTCTAAAGGGACAAAACATCTGTAATGGAAATGGCTCATCATTTTTTTCAGGGCTTAATATTCACTACATTAAATGACTTTTAGTTGTCAGAGACGGGACACACCTTACTGGTCTTCTTCAGCAAGATGCGATCCCATTGGCTAATGATATTTATCCATTTGGTCTCCCTGTGCCTGACCAACTCGGGCGGTGGGCCCACACTCCTGACACAAAACAGAATGCAGGCAAGTATTTTACACATTAAATATTCAGAGGATGAGAGGCTTTTTATGCATCCGTTGACTGGCAGCATTAAAGTCTCATTAAAGACCTTTCGGTCTGTGTGCAGAGTTGCTGCACGTATGTGTGCTGTCATTACAGAAATACAGTGCTGTGAAAAACAAGACAGGAAACAGGAAAACCACACGGTAGCAGTGTGATGTCTCCATGGCGACCGTTCAGGATGTTACCAATGGGCTAACTGTGGGAACGGCAGGTAACAGACGGTCTTGTCCTGACTGTAGCCAGTCAAGCAAGAAAATTACAATTTTGTGAACTATTTAAAGTTGCTGTTGCCATAGTTGTTACGTGGAAAGTCAAAAATAGCACCACTTTGAGGTGAACTGTCCCTTAACTGTTGGCTAACACTTCTTTTTTATAGTTTTAAAGATTTATTGACATCTCATGTTTCTGTCTCCAACTTAAACTCACTGAAATTGGTTGGAAGCTACTGCTTTTCACGAATAGTGTCTTTATAAATATGAGGTCTTGCATTTGAATAGGGTTACTTGTTTGTGAAAAAATATCATGGTACATCGCACGGCCTCTTTGAACACAATCATCCTGTAATGGGGCGTTTTTTTCAGCATTCAGGGGAAAAATTAGTATTTAAAGATCTTTAAAAGACGATAATTATAACAGAGAGACAGTAACCCTGCCTTTGACCACCGTGCCGAGCTTAACAACAGCATAGTAACAGTACACAGGGACAAATGCTTTGCTGCTCACCCAGCAGTGGATCCATTGGTCAGAATGAAGCCGAAGCGGTCGGTCTCAGGTTCCTGACCAACTGACTCTCCATCAGATCCAGAGCTGTCCTCCTCACTGAGGTTCTTCTGGGCTGCACTGGTTGGACTTAACATCTTACTGTCAGAGGAGAGGAGAGAGCGAACTCTGTCATCATGGTCATTTAAAGCTCTACAATTCCTGCTATACGTAGAAAGAATGTGTTAAAGCACTGCTCCGAATGGAGCCTGTTTAGGTTGGTCAGTAGTTGTATGAAAATGTTGTGCTACTTTCTGTTACATTTTAAGAGGACATGCTTCCTCACATACAAGCAGCGGTTAGGACATCTGGCTCGCTATTTATTTTGTATTTTTGCAGCATTAGTGTTAAACTTTCTTCGCAATCATAGATAATCACAGCTACAAAGCGGAGGACACGTAAATATCTTCTTAAAAATCATTTAAACGGAATTACCTTTCACACTTCCGTCATGATGAATCACTCGGTTGTTGAAGAGGTAAAGTGTCAGATACTCCCCTAATGAGGAAGACACTCTCTCTCTCTCTCTCTCTCTCTCTCTCTCTCTCTCTGACGACTATTGAATAATGTCCCTCAAATCAACACCCATTGGACTGCTTCTAGCAGTAATATAATGCTATTCTAATTGACGTGGATGTCAGAAATACGATTAATCAAACATCTTGTCACGTGGAGTGATACATGTGTAATATTGACCTGCAGATTACGTTTAAAGTGTTTTTTTTCCGAACAATGTGTATGCTGCTTTTGCTTTCAATGGGACATTTAGCAATTATATGTGTTTGAAATACAGTTAAAACAATGTGAAAAGTATCGCATAGTGAAATATCTTCAGATAAAATGAACGAGGAGCACTTGAATGCAACATAAACACAATTGCGCAGTTCAGGGACCGTTGTCTGTCTGCAGCTGATAATCGATAACTTGTGACAGGTAGGTCTAAGTCACCATTATACGCTTCTGTAATAGAAACCATGCAGAAATAGTTTTAGCTTGTAATTTTCCGTTAAATAAATAATGTACGTGCTTCATGTTATTGAGGTGGGACTTGTTGAGTGAAACGGGTCTCAAGTGAGTGTTGCGAACCTTCAACTTTTGAACAAATTTCATTTATCAACCGAACAAACGTGGTTTTAGGAAACTGCGTCATCGGGAAACGTTAAGCTAACTAAAGACACACTTTGCTAGTTTATTTGTAATGGGGAGTTAATGTGATGCAACAGCATTAATGCGATTTGCTGGATTGACCTCTCATCGGAAAGTATTGTTCACGTGCCTCCAAACCGATTTCAAAATGTTGGGAGAAACTATCGTGGGGAAAATTAGCTAATTGAAATAGACTATAAATACTACAGTTGTTTACATTTTATTTCACTTCCTAAAGCACCATCTAATATTTGCCACAGCAAAACGTCAACGTCTTATTTGTATGGTGATTTATGTTTCTATGGTGTGGTTGCTGTCTAACAACAGGTGCAATATCATAATAAATGAATAATCCCCTAAATCGTAAAGACTGGTTTTGTTCTCCGTACGTCCCATTCTGTCGGAGGGCCATGAACGTAGCACACCGCTGACGCAGAGCAGGAATTAGGAGCGCATGATTAGAGGATGCGGGGGAAGCATGTACGCAGTTAACTTACATGGCATCTTTCCTCCCTCTCTTCAGTCCCTTTTTGTTTTCAGCGTGGATATATTTACATGCATTGCAACAATGGAGGTTTCCTCTATCTACTTTAGCTCCTCCTATTGATATAAAGTCAGTACATGTCTGCCACAGGGAGTCTGCGTCTTCTCCACTGCTATTCAAAGCCAGGTAGGCTACTACAGGAGCAGCAGTCGTTAAAAGCTATAACAGCTTAATGTTTTAAATGTATCATGACCCCATTGAATGTTTGTTTCTCCAGCCTTAGGATGTGGTCTTTGTCGCCCATTCAGTCTCACCGTCCAGAGAGAGGGCTACAGTAAGTACTAGCAACTAAAGCTATTCACAGTGGAATGAACGAATCGTCATCTGTTGTATGTGTAACTGTCCACACTCTGGGTGTACCCCTACATATGCAATGATCTAAGCACGCTCTCCCCTCTCCCCCTGTTCTCCTCTTAGAGTATGTGAACGCTCAGGAGCTGCCGACAGACCTGCGGTCCATCACCGACCGGGCTGCAACAACCCTCCTGTGGACGGAACTCTTTAGAGGTCACACATACTGGGATCGCTATGCAGAAAGACCATACTGTGCATCAGGCCTGGTGTTGTTCTTTATTTTTTGAGATCCAACTCTTGAAGTCCTATCGTACTATTGTCTGTCAAAGCCGGATAAAGTTCATAGCGCTCTAAAAGTATTCAAAAGGAACAAATGAGTCAAACTATCAGGTGAAATGTTGCTGCCTGACAACAAAGAGCCATTTTCAATTTGAGTCAATTCCACATGCCCCAACCGTCTGTTGCTGTGAATGCTCAGTAGCGCACCAAATGTATATTAATTGATGTACAAAGAGTAAAGGAGCAGGAGTCACAGTTATTAAGTGGTAGCACATTACCAACACGCCAATGCGATAAATATGAATTAATAAAAGTCCACAAGCGATTCCCTATTACAAATCCAGTTTGAGGGACATTTTCCAAATATTGTCCCACCCAACTGGTCAAGGAAATAACATGAAACAATATATTATAGATGATCAAATAAGCCACAGACGGGAGGCAATTCAGAATGTTCCAAAAGATCTTCCAATTTTGGGATTTTGCTCATACCTGCAGGTCTGGCGATGACTATGAGTTACCTGTTCCGTGAACCAGCCACCATCAACTACCCGTTTGAGAAGGGCCCCCTGTCCCCTCGCTTCAGGGGAGAGCACGCCCTCCGCCGCTACCCCAATGGAGAGGAGCGCTGCATCGCCTGTAAGCTGTGTGAGGCCATCTGCCCCGCTCAGGTGAACACGCAAACACTCAGTTGCAGCTAGGAAGAGATAAGCACAATCACTGTGGTTTATTTTAAGGGGCCGCCATGCATTATTAGCAGATCTTCATTTTTGCCTTTTCTCACTGTAGGACGAGTATAACGTGTACTACAGTGTCCTATAGCAGCAGTCTAAGGCAGTGGCAAACGCTACAAACATGGGATGCGTTGAGGGAGCATGCTTGGATGAAAAGAAAATGTTGAACCAATCTGCACCTCTTAAAACATCTGGGTATTATTTTGCTTGAAAATTCTGTAAAGAAAACCCCACAAATTCTGCCTTTCAGTTTATTTATTTGCAGTATAGTCACAGATTCTTAACAACATTATTATATCTTGTTGCCCATACAGTAAATTCTCTCTCTCGCAGACACAAAAACACACCAAAAACCGCCCCAAAGAAAAGCATGTAGCTTAATTTTTATTGCTGCTAATTCTTGAATTCTTCACCCTATTAACATAGAAATCTATTGAGCGTCCTCTATTCTGTTAATGCTGTGATGTGATTTCTACAGACTAGTAAATATATCACCATCGTCAATACTCAAATAATCTCACTTATTAGGCTCTGATCACCTCAATGCTGAAACGTGGCTTTAGTTTTGTCTCGTCTATTTTCTCCCTTTGTGGAATTTCAGGCCATCACCATTGAAGCTGAGACTCGAGCCGATGGCAGCAGAAGAACCACACGCTATGACATTGATATGACCAAATGTATCTACTGTGGCTTCTGCCAGGAAGCCTGTCCTGTTGATGCCGTCGTTCAGGTGGGAAAAAGCTCAATCTGTATAGTTAAAAGAAGATACGGAGCTGAACCAAGATGGCTGTTGCCTGACTAAACTGTATTTGTGCCACTTGAAATATGTATTTAATAAAAACAATGTGTGAGTGGATATTTTTGGAAAGTTAGACTTGTATCAGTTTCAGATTCATTATTTGTATTTATTCTTACTGTAAGTATACAATACTGCGTGCTTCCAAGTGTTTTGTAGGGTTGCGTTGCATGTCGCAGATTGCTTATCTAAAGTCAATTCCTACCTTCTATGAAAGGGGTCATTTAGAAGTCAACCCACCCCTAAACCCTAAAGGTAGAAAATGGAGCTAATCTCTGTGACTTTAAACCTACTGACGTTTAATGTGTATTTTATTCCATCACTCAGGGTCCAAACTTTGAGTTCTCCACAGAGACCCACGAGGAGCTGCTGTACAACAAAGAGAAGCTCCTCAACAACGGAGACCAGTGGGAGGCTGAGATAGCAGCCAACATACAGGCGGACTATTTGTACAGATAAATGTGTACACTGTGTGCAAAAATGTTTCAAGCGGTATATATTTTATCGTCCTCCTTTGCTATAAAGAGATTATTTGTAGCGTTAAAGACATTCAAGTGAATAACGAATGAGCAGTGAAGCCGTCAGCAGTCTCAAATTCTGTTGTCAGAACTAAGAATATATGTAAACTGTTATTGTATTGTATAGTTATTGTATTGAAAACATGGATGATGTTGAATTTTATAAACAGATTAGTAGATTATAATTGTATAGCCTCTGGTGGACAATTTGATGCTGCACTTTAAAATATGTGTTTATTTTTAATCGGTGTGATGCCGAAGACATTTCTAAAAGAGTATATTTATGTAATGTAATTTAAGATACTGAAATAAATCATGTTTTAAAAACTCAAACCATTGATTCCTATTACATCGAAGCTCGCGCTGAAGCAATTAGTTGGAGATTCAATTCAAACAATCCCTGTATCTTGCTGTGGAATTGTGAGGATTTTGCTGCCTCTCAGATTTATATCACAGTAAATATATTTGACTGGTCAATAAAACCACTAATCGATTCATCTTTCTCTGCTTCATATGATAAAAGTGCAAGTGGAGATGAGCGCTTGTCACGCGGCAGACAATTAGGCCAATTAAGTATTTGATCCATCAATAAAATAACGTTAATTATCATCACAGTTGCTGCCCTTAGAATTACTCCTGATCATTTCATGAGCAAGGTGCGACGTGTCGTTACACCGCGATGCAATACAAGGGTGTATCAATTTGACGCAGGATTAACCAACGCCGTGTTTAACACGCGTGATTGGTTATCGGCGGCTCGTTTAGATTAGCTGACGTGCTGAATCACGCTCTGAGGAAGGCGGGCGTCTCATAGGGCGCTTTTTTTTTTGCCGCTGCGATGTCACGTGATATGGGCGGAAACTGACTCACAGTCCACGCTGAATCTCCCGCGAACGCAGCCATTTACCCTCTTTTCTCTCTTGTTGGTGGTACCGGCTAGGTGAGTCTCTACGTGGGGTTTTTCCACTCGTTATAGGCCATCTTGTATTCAAGCGTGTGCGTTTTTCGGGAAAGTCACTTAAAGCAACGGGAAACGTGAAGGTAGCGCTTGGGTCTGTGGTGCGTGCGGCTCGTGGCCCTGCGAGGCTCCAGCGGCGGCGTTAGGCCATCGTTTCTCTTGTGCTAACGTAGCCTGTTAGCTCTGTGAAAAGAATGGCTTCCATGCGTTGCTAGCTAACAGGTTAGCAGGAACAGCCCTCCGCCACTCCACTACTTTTTCAGTCCATATTTCCCCAATTAAGTTAAGTGCACTTACTACTTTTTCACCGAACAAACTGTAAATGCGCGAGGGCATCTCGACTTTGCCAATTATTCAATGTGTCACTCAATCACAACACGGAACGCAGAAGCTAATCTTCAACTCCGATTGTTCCCCTCGAACAAGGGAAAAAGTGCGGTCGTCCGTCGGATGTCGCACTCCGGCTAAACGTTAGGCTGTTGGCCGCCGATCTGCCTTTTAAACGCGGGTTAAAAGCGAGATTAGTACTAATTCGCGCCCTCAAATCCAGAGTTACTTATTACGAAACGCAGCGAAATTTGAACTTTAAAAAATAGCGCTAACGTTGCACGTTGGCGCGTCACAGCGTTAGCATGAATATATTTGCTATCAACAAGCTAACAAGTTAGCCAGCGGTGGAGTTTTAGCTGTTGACTAAAGTAAATCGCTTCAACGTGACCCTTTGTATCTAACTCAATTACTTAGCGTATTCCCCCCCAAATGTGAGGTCCATCGTGGTCTTTGCTAACACCGATAACGTTAGCTCAACGCAACTGATCGCGATAACCGGCCGCTACAGAAACCAGGATGAAGGGGGGAAACGTGCTAACCACCCCGCCTTTTCTTTCTTTTTAGGTAAAATCGCAATCACGGCGGACTCAATGGCCCAGTGTAACCCGGTGGCGGTGTTCAAGGTAAGATTTGTCTGTACAACGTCACGCATGTTCGTCTCTCTCCAGACGTGCGGTGCGGTAAAAGATGCATGTGGCATTTAAGCTAGCTGAGCTAACGGTCAGTGCATCCGACTAGAAACAACCAGTCTGACCCCCCCCCCCTTTCTCTCCCCTGCCCGCCAGCTCGTCCTAGTGGGAGATGGAGGCACCGGGAAAACCACCTTCGTGAAGAGGCACATTACAGGAGAGTTTGAGAAGAAATATGTCGGTAAGTTCCAGAAGACTCAGACGTTCAACTGGCTTAATCTCACCGTGGTGGTGTAGGTAGTCGGAACTTCTATGCTGTGTGAGAAATAAACGTCTGAAAGATTGTTTTCCATCAATGTTGTTATGAGTATGAATGGGTGGATGGTTAGATTGAATAAAAACTGAGGTTTTTTTTTTGTTTTACCGCTTAATTTGAATTTTGGATTCTGCATGACTGTGTGGTGATCCAGCTATTTTGCACTTTATTATCCTAATAATCCATATCATGCATCACTATATGCCAAAGGAAATCCAGTAGAGAAAAGCAACAAACGCATGTGTAGATTTTCACTTCAATATAGTGCTAATGAATCAATTTCAATAAATCCTCATTCGCCAGAACGATACTGCAACTACCCCCAAGAGGCTTTATTTTTAACCATTTTCACCGTTCTTGCTCTCATTAATCTCATCTTTGTCATTCCAGCTACTCTCGGAGTAGAGGTGCACCCGCTGATGTTCCACACAAACAGAGGAGCTATCAAGTACAATGTGTGGGACACAGCTGGTCAGGAGAAGTTTGGAGGCCTGAGAGATGGATACTACATTCAAGGTGCCTGTTGCAAGCCTTGCCGTGCTGTTTTGGTTGTTCTGCCCAGTTGATTTTAAATTAAAACCCTGTCATTTAATACCTTCACAGCTCAGTGTGCCATCATCATGTTCGACGTCACCTCTCGAGTTACCTATAAGAACGTGCCCAACTGGCATCGTGATCTTGTCCGTGTCTGTGAGAACATTCCCATTGTCCTCTGCGGTAACAAGGTGGACATCAAAGACCGTAAAGTCAAAGCCAAGGCCATTGTGTTTCATCGCAAGAAGAACCTGCAGGTAATAACAATTATCCCAAAGTGAAGAACATTTATACGTTTCTAATGAACTAATCAGTTGTGCGTTAATTTTAGCAGGCATTCATTTCCAACTAATAAATTGCTCTGTCCTCCAGTACTACGACATTTCTGCCAAGAGTAACTACAACTTTGAGAAGCCCTTCCTGTGGCTAGCGAGGAAGTTAATTGGAGACCCCAACCTGGAGTTTGTGGCGATGCCTGCCCTTGCTCCTCCAGAAGTCCAAATGGACCCCACCCTTGCTGCACAGTACGAGAAAGAGCTTCAAGTGAGTATGACCATACGCTTGCAGTGTGTGTTTGGGTTACTGTGTAGTCCATTTTATTCCAGTAACTTCTTTGACGGTTCAGAGGGGAAAAACTTGGTTTGTAATGTCATATCGTTTCCTGTCCAGGTTGCATCACAAACGGCGCTGCCAGATGAGGAAGATGACCTCTAACCTGTTACCTGAATGTTCCCTCTCACCCCCTGATGTCGACCGGAAGTTGTTGAAGTTTTGCCCCTTACTGTAAAATCCCCTTTCAGATTTTTTATTTTTGAATTCCTTTTGTTTGTTTTAAAACTAAGAATCTGGTGGAAAAGTTGTAGTTCTAATTTCACTGTATAAGACACACCCACCCTAGTGTTGTTGTAGGCATGGCAACATGCTACTCTTCATCATCGAGCACCCTCCACTGCACTTGCCCAGCTCACATAATGCTGTTGTACGGTGTTTTGGAAGCACTACGGGGAGTAAACTTTGAATAAAAACATTCTCAATATAACATGCATGTTGACTTAATTTCCTTGAGGATCAGACTCTCCAGTTTCAGAGGACAGTTTAAAACGAAGAGGCATTTTTCAGTGAAGACGTTTGACATGTCATAGTAAAAAAACAAATGTATTTTTGATAAATGCACTTTATGAGAAAGGCCTAATGCGATACCGCATTATTTTATGTTTTTATTCCGCTTTCTAGAACCACTGCCCAAAACTCTGCTTTAGGGACTATTCCTGTTTAGAAGTGTATTTTAAATCGCTCTGTTGGAACCCGCGGCGGCCGCCAGGTGTCAGGCACGTTCTCAGTGTAAGACCGCCCCCTGGATTACGAAACAGGTTTACGCCGCACGCTCATCGTGGCGCGTGGCTTCCACCCGACTAACCACTATCAGGGTTTGAATGCTTCTTAACATCATGCAGTAACTCCACAAATTGAGGCTTGACTCATTTCAATTAATTACCTGTGTCTACGGCTGAACGAGTTCCACGCATCTGATACCCATATAAAAGATTTTGGGGACAACTAAATTCTTAGACTCACAAATGTGCCCCATTTTATGAAGACCAGTTTTTCCTCCTGTAATTGACTTTGGAAGCAGTGTAGTATGTATGGCCGATAATTATTTGGCTGACGCTCTGAATACACTGCCTCTAACTATACCATGGCCATAAAGAAATGCTAGTATGATAACCTACGTTCAAGTTACTCTATAAAAGCGGAAATATGAAACGGAAACTACTCTCAGACCCTGAACGTTTTGGGTGAAATTACCAATAATAAACTCAAATTTCTTTAGACCTTGATTTTCCTACTGAGCGCGAGGTGGAATATGACCTAAAGCCCCGTAGCAGTGTGCCTTGTGGTGAGATTGTTTTCTAGCATTTGGTTTTTCCAACATTGTGGAATCTCAATTGGCTGTGAAGAAAAAAAAAACGTAATACCTGACATTAAATTGTCTGATTTTGCACTTCCAAAAAAGAAATAAATCATCATACCCCCGCGGCTTCTACAACATTTGCACTTTGCGTGTGACTTGTCTTCCATAAAGAGTTACACGGAAAATTTGCATGCACAACAAAATTATTTTAAAGATACCAGTACATCAAGAACAGTGGGTTAAGTGAGACCATGTACCACATTAAATTCACATGTATCCGTTTTCTCCTGGGATGGTCAATATTCAACTTTTAAGCAAAAATAAAAGAATTAACATTCCCACTAAACATGAACGCATCACGTGCAGGTGGCTCGGGGTGTGGCTTTGTGTCAGAGGAGCTGTCTGCGCATGCGTGAACCAGAAAAGTGCGTTTTAGAATGATTACTGCTGGTCAGTGGAGGGACAGATTATTCGTCTCTACACAACTGTTGTTTTAATCCCCTGGGCGAGGAGATTTAGCAAAGAAAAACCCCTGCTTTTAAACCCAGCAGCCATATTGTATGGAAAAAACGACGGGAGGACTCCGCTTTTGTGAAAAAGTCGTTTTCTCCCGCACCTCCGTGAAGACTTTTGCGGAGTTTAATTGCGGTTCTTGCCGGCGGTGGGTTTCCTTCGGACAGCTCGCTTTGCCAGCCGGTTCAGCAATTCAGAGACTGGGACCTTTTTTCTTTTTGAAGGGATTTTTCACAGAATTGTGGTAATTTCTTTTAGTTTTAAAGGTGTTTAAGGAACCTTGACAAACATGAAGGACCGATTGGAGCAACTCAAAGCGGTAAGTAACGTTCAGGAAACGTCAATTGTCCTCTTTTCCTCTTCCTCCGTCCACTTCAATGGTGCACAAACACATGACAGGGCGAGAGGAAAAAACATTTACTGTTTTTACTATTCTAAATGTAGCTCAAATGGCTGAAACACAACCCCAGTAATGATCTAAACTAGTTATCCACGTTGTGATGACGTAACTCGGGATGGATACAGTAACACTGCAAGTGGAGATGGTTTGAAATGGGGGTGATGGGGAAAGCGACCAAAGGTTTCTGACACGCAGCGGACAGTTTTATGTCATCTTATTATGAGAGTAAATGGGAGAGCTATCGGTGGAACTGTGTCCACAGATGTAATGCATATTAAATCCTCAATTGGGATGTTTGTGAATGTAACGACATATGGTACTTTCCACGCGATAGTTTAACACCAGATTAATTTGATCGGCGGGCAGTTAAGTTAATCGACCAATCAGTCTCTGGTCAACGTGTATTATGTATTTAATTTATATGACTGTCGGAAGTATTCAGAAAGTGATTAATCAATGCTTACAGTAAAGAAGAAAAAAATAAATATATATTTTTATATATATATATATATATATTATTTTTTTTTTAGATAGAATGGACAGTAGAATGAACCAGAATCTTCTTTTACCTTTTTGTATTTATCCATCACAGCTGAGTTCCAAGTCTTAAACAGCAGCACACTTCCATTATATTTATACCTCCCCCCATTCAGACTGGAGTTAATGACAGTGAATTTATCCTCACTGGGGGAGTTTGAGGCCTTGGTCCATTTGTAACCCAAGTCAGGGTATGTTGCCATAGCTACCTGACACTGCCGGCCAAATATTTGCAGTATCCCCCCTCAGGACTGTGTAATCTCTCACAAATGACTTCTTTTCGTGCAAAGGAAGTACAGACAGCGAGTGGGCCAGTCACTAAAGTCCCTTATACTTTATACTTGTACACCTGTAAAACAAGGCTAAGGCTATGTACTCTTGTCCCGGTGGCCTCTAATCTCTTTCTTTGTCAGTCCTTCCTATCCACGTCTATCGCCCACCCGCTTCATTTCCCTCCTTGAGTGTAACGTGTCGGCAGTAGCTTTTTGGTGCGTATGTCAGCTGATTGGCTTGATAAAGATGAGCAACAAGAAGCGCTGTGGTTTCACTCGGGGCGACGGTCACATGTGAAAGCTCAAACTGTTAGAAAGCCTTCAACACAGTTTCTTGCAGTTTAAAAAAATAGTTATAACACAAGTGGATGAAGGAGCCATATGGTTTCATGGTAAGAGGACCCTCGGTGCCATCACCCTCCTGGTATCTAAACATGTTTTCGGACACATGGAGTTTTTTAAGCGTTGCATTGACTGGAGTCCCGATGGAGCATTTTGTTTTTCTGTCACAATGCCGATGTAAATCCGACCCCATGTCCTCGTCCAGCAGCTGTTCTGGTTTCTGGCTAATTCCTTATTTTTTTTAATCATCCCGTTGCAAAATCTAGTGAATTGGGCTTGAATTCATCTTGCATCAGTTACTCGGCATGTTGGTTGGAACCCTTCATTGTTTGTTTATTGTGTTATTGGATAGAAACGGCCCACACGTTGCTCACCAGTCCCCGGGGCAGCAATGGGCGCCAAGGCATCGCAAAACACAAAAACAAGCGTGAATGTGCTTCTCTGCCAAACACCCGGTCTAAAACACCAAAGGTGTACAAACTGTTGTGTTCAGGGGTTGGGTGTCGCACTCACATGTGTTATCACGAGTGAGAGTGCGACCACACGAGTTGTTTGTGCAGCACAACGTCCCGAAGCCTTACTTTTTTGCTCAGAGCCGTTTGATTGATTAGTACGGTAATAGCTGCAGCTCTACCACTGTTTGGTCTTATCTTTTATATGACTGCGTTTTCAGCTCACTTCAGCCTTTCCCCGTCATTTACGATCCTTGGAGACAAAGTCTGACAGTAAATCATCTGCCGGTGTCTGTAAGATGACGGAGTCACAGGAAATGTCCAGGGAGGGGCTTGTAGTACTTTCTGGATTGTGTTTTTGTATCCAAATACACCTCACCGGGTCACTTGAGGCTTTTTAAGATATTGCTACAATGCGTGTGTGATGCACGTATGCTGAGTTCGTTCAATGGTAGTTTGTAGAGGCCGATCGGATGCCCTCCGTTAGTCAAGGGGGGGGGGGGGGGGGCTGACGACGCACATCTGACTTTCCACATCCACTAGTCAGTGCGACACAGTCTTATAGATATTTAGTCTCTGACGAAGCCGCGTGGGAGGAGAGCCAGTCGGTTTGTTGTGTCCGTGGATCGTTGAGTCCGCCTCGGTGTAAAACCTTTGCCTAGTCGTGTGTTATGTAAGGTGACATATGACGTTTTGTATGCAGAACCGTAACCGTAATTAAGTGAATTTGAATAAAAGGAACAAGCCAGCAACCGAGCTGACATATCAGTCCCTCGTGCTCTACCTCTGCTTTATCCTTGTGTAACAGCATGAGGCCGAAAAGGGATCAAATCTAATCTGTTAGTTCTTTGTCAACAGTATCACCAATGTGGCTTTAAATCTAGTTGTCCACAATATATTTATTAATTTCCTAATAAGGATTAAAGTGTGTAAAGTAAACAATAGTAAAGTAAAAGGTAAATGCATTATGGGTAACATTTAGATCATCATGAACGTGACAAAGCAGGTCTGCTAACAGGTGTTTCCCGGTTGAGTCATAGGACGACCAGGTGAGTTTAGGGAGGCTCGTTGTTGAGAAGTCCCTCCGTCTGTGCGGATCGAACGGTTCTGCTATAACAACGTGTGTTTTTGGCTGTGGCCTGTTTTTTAATTCTTTTTAAGGCGTTTGTATCACACAACCGTCCCTTTGACCTTATTTCTGCTGAATAAGAGCCGCTGGAAGGAAGTCGCGCTTGTTCTTATCTCTCTTTTGCAGAAATGCTGTGTGAGGGAGCATATTGTTTATGCCAGAGGGATACAGCTGTAAGTTTGCCGAATAAGTCACAGAGAGTTATGAAAACAAGCTGTGTGTGTGTGTGTGTGTGTGTGTGTGTGTGTGTGTGTGTGTGTGTGTGTGTGTGTGTGTGTGTGTGTGTGTGTGTGTGTCCAGAGAACTCTGTGCTACCTGACAACTGTTGTTGGTTTCAGCAGCCTGAACCAAATGGCTGCATTTGCAATTCAAATTGTAGACGAAAGGTAGAAAGACACATCGAATGGACGACGTGCATTAAATGTACGTCGAAGGGCTGCAACTGTGCTTATTTCCATCAGTGATTAATCCATTCAGCTATTTTCTCGACTACTAATTTTGTTTATAAAATGTCTGAAAATAGAGAAAAATCAATCCTCGTCGATGTGATACAATCATTTGTTTTATTTGACCCTTTGTTTTTGGAAGTTAAAAAATATCATGGTTATTCCAGGGTAGTGTAGATAAAGTGGAATATCTATTCAGATGGCTTGTTTGGAGGCTGATACGAGAGAGCCGCCTAGTCGACAGGTATTTTCCATTCCTTGACTTTGACACCGTCTGACTTTCTCCGGGGGAAAGTCAAGTGACTCGACTCGACTCGACCCTGTCACCCATTTCAAAACGGCTCGAATGCCTGTGGTTGCTCAGGTGAAACCCAATTGTTTCTAAAATGTAGAAGTGAATAAAGGGGAGGGAGCGAAGTGAGCTTCTTTCCGCGTTCTACTTCTGCCCGGCGGCCCTGTGATGCCTGTTTTGCCTTTCCTGTAGTTTCTACAGGCGATGGAAAAAAAAAAAAAAGAAGGGAGAGTTCCTGGAGCCCGGCCCTATTCTTTTACCTTGTTTACCGACTTTACCTTATGACGTGTGTGACTTCACCAGAGGGAAACTTCCTGATGGATGTGATTGGGTGCAGGCTGATGAGGAACGCACCAATATTTGCGGCCGTCACAGCTGAGCTGCTGAACAGGAAGCAGTTTCATTATTAAGCCTGTTCACGGTCCCCTGACTTTTTACCCCGAGAAAGAATGACTTTATGACCATTATTGGACGTTCAAATAGTTTAAGAAATTGTCAGTATTTTCACAGCAGAATTCTGTCTAACGGGGTTTTTCAAGATGAACACTTTTTGTTCATGTTATTTGGGGCGTATAGAAAACTGATGCTTGGTCAGATGAATAGTTTTATTTACCTGCTATTCGACAGATTATTAGTTGATTATTTGCTTTTCCCTTTTTTGATAACATGTAGCTAATTTTCTTCTTTATTCTTTACAGATAAGCTTATTGCAGTGTTTATATAGAAATAAAGGATTTCATTTTTTTTCTTTTTCAGAGTGATATAAGAAGATTAATTCCACTGTCCCTGCTAGCAGCCAGTTATCTTAGCTTAGCAGCTAACAGCTAGCCTTGTTGCACGGGTAGCACAATGCGCTGGCACCTCCTGAAGCCCAATAATTATCACCTTATATCATTTGTAAAACCTGTTTTTATTACATTTTCCTACTTGTATCATGTTTTAATAAGACTTCACTCAGCAGTGAAACAAACTACTTACTCTGCGTTTGTTCTGTTAGACGTGTGATCAAGATGACGACGAGGTGGAGATTTGTGTGGACAATGCAGCCTTCATGGACGAATTCTTCCTTCAGGTCGGTGGCGAAAAATCAAAAAATGTTTGGGAAAAAAGGCAATATATTGGGTTGAAATATTTTAATGGTATATGGTAGGTTGAATATTCCCTTGTTGCGAAACATTTCAATGTTGTCATCCACACGCACTTCTGATTGATGATGTCCGACTGTGCGTTTGTTGCAGATTGAGGACATCAGGAACAGTATCGATAAAATTGATGAGAATGTGTCTGAAGTCAAAAAGATTTTCTCTGTCATCCTGTCGGCTCCCACATCAGATCAGAGTAAGATCCCAGCTTGTCTTCCTGCACCTGCTCATTTTCCTCTTCTCGACAAATGTTGTCATCCATGCTCTTTCTTTGTTTCCAGAAACACAGGATGACTTGGAGGCAATCACCAATGACATAAAGAAGATGGCTAACAATGCAAGAAACAAACTCAAGAGTGAGTCTGTCTGCCTTACACACACACACACACACACACACACACACACACACACACACACACACACACACGTAGCTTGTCATGGAATGAAATGGTGTTTAAGTGCTTTAATGTGGAACGTTGAGGTTGAACCAGTAGTGTCTTTGCTTCCCAGCCATCGAGAGGAATTTGGAGTCAGAGGAGCAGGAGAGGGTGTCAGCTGACATGCGGATACGTAAATCACAGGTAAATGAAGTCCAGCCGAAGTTTTCTTTATTTATATCTCAAACTTGACAGGCTTTTGGTTAAGAAAGAAAGGGGGAAGAGGAAAAATATATATTTTAAAGAAAATAACTACAGCACATTGTAATTTGATTCGTTATAATAATATATTTCTTTAATGTGAAAAGATGTATTTGTGTTTATTTATTTATGTATTAGTCCTATAATTGTTATTTTGATCAATTTAATTGAGATTACTTCTGTGCCAATTCATTTTTCTCCCTGTTGTCTCCCAGCACGCAGTCCTGTCCAGGAAGTTTGTGGAGGTAATGACAAAGTATAATGAAGCCCAGGTGGACTTCAGAGAGCGGAGTAAAGGACGTATCAAGAGACAACTAGAGATCAGTGAGTGGCAGCCATCAAATCATCTGATGATCTCACAGTCTTCTTTGTCTTAAGCCGTTTTGTCCTCTGCTCCTCCCTCTCCAGCTGGAAAAGCAACAACAGATGATGAACTGGATGAGATGTTGGAGAGCGGCAACGCTGCTGTGTTTACTGCAGGGGTAATCGTGTGTGTTTGTGTGTGTGCGCAGTAATCTCCACCATTAGTAACGTCCAGTGAGCCTTGGCAGTGATCATAATATGGTGGAACGGACAAACCCTTCAGTAAAGCTCAAAGAGCCTGGTATCGTCTGGTCAAAGATTAGCTCTGCTCTGGATTTGTCCCGTTGGACTCCAAGTCAGTTCGCTCTCTCCTGCTTCCTTCGTGTTGCAAACCCCCAAAAGCCGATGGGCAAAGACTAAGCCTCTGTTGAGCTGCTTGAAACCGAGCACCAGTGTGATCGGACTCCCACACGTGCACCATGCATTTCAACTGGTGGGAGAGCCTCTATGCCTACTGTGCGAGTTGTATGTTTTAGATTTTTTTAGAAATGAACTGTCTTTTAAAGCTGCAGTGGTCTTTACAGGGGCGAATAGCACAGTGGGGAGGATGTATCTGTTAGCCCGGTTCACGTTACGGGTTGGAAAAGGAGGAGTAGAGGGATTGCAACCAAATCCAACACAATGTGACCCGGAGACCAAGCGTCCTTGAAACTCTTGTGTTGTGGATGTCTGTCTGAACTGGGCCTGACCCCCTCCTGTCCACAGATCGTGGACGCTGGGATCTCTAAACAAGCTCTGAGTGAGATTGAAGCCAGGCACAAAGACATTGTCCGTCTGGAGAGCAGCATCAAGGAGCTGCACGATATGTTTGTAGACATCGCCATGCTGGTGGAGAGCCAGGTACGCTGCCCCGTTCCATCCCTCCACTTGCCTCCGGACCTCCTCATTGCTTTCATTCATTCATTCATTCTTTACTGTCCCTCGTGGCTTTGTGTTTCATCCTGACTGTGTTCAACTCATTTTCACCGGTTTATTTCTCTGCATCTGTTTCCTCTTTTCCAGCTGCATGCCTTTCTTACACCTCTTTGCACCTTTTATTGTCACTGCCACCACCGCCCCGTCCCCCAACATTGATGGTACCGACACCAATGCATTTAGTAAGATGTACGCGTAGACACGAGTGCACACTTCCCCCCCCCCCCTAGAATTAGTACCGATGCATACTGTTCATCAGTCAGCCACTGTTTATGAGAAAGTACTATGAGTTTAACCACATGTTTCTTACTGCTTGAACCATGCTGTCTGAGGGAAAGGCTTGTTTGAGGTAAGTGCCGCACTCCCGCTGGCCGGGCTTTGTGATTTCCTCCCGATGCTCTCTGTCTTCTTTTGCCATTTCTATTTTCAGGTTTTAAGACATTCCAAACACGGCTCCTCATGGAGTCATTATTGAAACCGTGGCTTTATTAACATTAGATGTTTTGACAGTAAAAGTGCCAGTATGTGGAAAATATGGATCAGTTTGGATTACTTTTTTTATTTGAACCAATATTCTCAGAGGTTCTTTGTGTTGCTCTATTCCTCATTGATTGTTTTTCTGTTTTGCAGGGTGACATAGTTGACAACATAGAGCAGAATGTATCCAAGTCACTGGACCATATAGTTGTGGCTAAGGAACAGACCAAAAAAGCCATTAGGCACCAGGCTAAAGCGCGCAAGGTAACGTAGCCGACGGCTGCTCCGGTCTGCTGCTCACCTCTTCGTGTGCGTTTTCTTTTCTTCTTTCTTCTTCTTATCAGCATCATTACAACATTCAAACACAGTTTGCATAGAGATCACACTCCCCTTGGCCTGCAGACAGATCGGCAATCGCACGCAACTGAATGCATTAAATGTGCTTGGCTTTTTGTGCTCTTTCCTTCTCTGCACCCCCCCCCTCTCTCTCTCTCTCCCTCCCGTTGTTTTGTTTCTCTGGGGGGGTTTTGTCGCTGCTTTTGGTCACCTCTGACGCCGTGGCCCCATGTCAGGGGGGAATAATCGAGAGGATTGAGAGCAACATGGACCAGTCAGTGGGCTTCGTGGAGCGGGCCGTAGCAGACACTAAGAAAGCTGCCAAGTTTCAGCAGGAGGCTCGCCGTGTGAGTGACCACAGTCGGGAGGAGTGGCCGGTTTCCCAAAAGCAGCAGAGATAATTGGATTTGATTTGTTCACAATAGAAAGCCAACCATCTCAGAGTAACGCTGTTTACATTCAAAGCAGAACAAAGAGGAGAGAGATGGGGATTAGATTTAGTAAAACAGGACAATTATTGAGTCCGATTTGAGCTGCAACGCCGACCTTGTGTTTGAATACGATTGGAGTAATCTGATTACTCCACTGTGGACGTGCACTTGGAACGCTGGAGATGCGTCTGCTGAACCACAGAACAGTAGTTAAAGGGAATTGCTCAGACTGCACTATTCCAGATTATACGAGGTCAACACTGGTTCCAACAGAGCGTTAAAAGCATAAAAACGGCCTCCTCTGCACTGCTGCAGAAAAACCGCGTTGACCGGAGTGACCTCAACGCAATGTGACACGATTAAGAGCAATCAAACACGCGTTCCTGCTGAGGAGCTTTGTGTCATAATTACTTTATTTCTCCTCTTTACTATGTGATCGTCACGCTGAAAGATGCAATGATTATTCTTCTGATAAATTGTTTTAAAGAGATGTGAAAACTCTGTTCTGCTGTGCAGTTGTGTACCATCTTAAATGGCTTTTAACACAAAGGTGCTTTTGGGAAACCTGCCAGAATGAAGACCGTCCCCACCCTCAAGACCCTGATCGTTAACTTGATCCTCACATGTGATGACCTGTGACCCGTGATCCTCTTACCTGGTCGGTGGCTCTGCCTCCAACCCATGCCTACACACACAAACACACACACACACACACACAGACAGCTTCTACGCTCTTCTTTCTCTCTGTTGTTTCTCTTCAGCTTTATCCCTAACATTGTCTTTTCTTTACAGTTTGCTCACGGTGTCGATGTTAGTCTTTGTTTTTCTTTGGGGTGTTTCAGGATGTTGCTTGTTAGCTTCAGGCTGTTAAAACGTGCTGATGAAAATAACCTTTTTATACTTTAAGTGAACATAAAGTCAACACTGCTGCACCAAAACATAACTGGTTTCATCACACTCTAGCAAGATGTTTTTATGTTTACCGAGCTACAAGTGGAATTCACATTCTTTATTCAGCCATTGTTGGTTTATAATGAACAAATGCATGCGTGCAACAGTTGCGAAAGTGCAATGTAAGGTAGACGTGATCACGTTTGCCCAAGTCAATGTTCTTATTGTTGGTTCCCACTGAGACTCGTCCTGACGGCACTGTATGTACTTGGTTGTTCCCAACAGAAAACGGTGATAATAGTGGTGGTTGTGGCGGTCTTGCTGGGCTTACTAGCTCTCATAATCGGGTTGTCTGTGGGATTGAATAGATGATGAGCTATTTGAATAAGAGGAGCGCTAAGGGTGAGTAACTCTGCAGCAAACAAGCTCTGTAGAGCTACAATGGGTGTGGGCAGGAGGCGTGCTTTGAAAAAGGGGTTGCATGCTCTTTTCTTCCTGGTTTTGTGTGTGTGTGTGTGTGTGTGTGTGTGTGTGTGTGTGTGTGTGTGTGTGTGTGTGTGTGTGTGTGTGTGTGTGTGTTTGTTTGTTGTCTTTCCATCCACAGGGCTCACTTGAGGTGTGTTTGTGTGTATTTGAGGTTCTTGGGTGTCTGTGTTTCCCCCCCTCCTGTTACTGCTGAACAAACAAAGCAGTGCTTGAAGGGAGTTATTATTTCAGCTGGGGTAATTTTTTTAAATAATGTCCCAATGTTCTCACGTCCCCCGTCATTAATCTCCCATTGTCTTTTCTCTCTCTCTCTCTCTCTCTCCCCCTCTCAGCAGAACATGATCATAACTGTTGTAGTCTGTGCTGTGGATGTTCTCATCTTCCTCACCGCCATCCTCCCCCCTCGACACCATCACTGGACTGCTGCTCTTATCATCAGTTATTTATCATCCGCTCCATCCTATTCTCCGTCAGCCGGCGCGCCAAAGAGAAACCTTGATGACTCCGTACGGATAAAATGTTGGCACGACAAATACCTGCAACGCATTTGCTCGCTGGATAAAACAAGAAGAGCTCGGGAATGTTCTTAAAACGTTGTATCCAACCAGAACCGTCCGTACTGGTGTGTTAGGGTTTGTTTGGACGGTTTGAGGACGCTCTGCTGCAAATGAGGAAACGAGAGATTTGGGAAATAACTGATCATAACGTCACTTAACATTTCATTGTGTAACATTCGATGCCAAAGAATCAGCCCAGAAGCATTTAGGGAAATTAACTTTAAAGTCCGGTAAGTGGGACCCGTGAGAGGCCTTGTAGATCTCCTCCTCCTTCTCCTGATTCTTTACTTTTTATGAGCCACGACACATTCTGTGATTGAAAAGCTAGCTACTGTATATTTACTGTGTTTTTATTGTGTTGGTTTCGGGAAATGTTTTAGCACTTTTCACATTTCACTATGTCCTTCTTTCTGAGATTAGGTTCAGATGGGAATAATAGCGTTATCAATTTTAGTGTTGTTTGTATCCAGCCCTGAATAGTTCTCAGTTCTTTCAACTTGAAGAGGATCGGTGTGCTCACTTATGAGTCTTCAGTTTGTAGAGCTCAGTGGTTTATTTAAGTACAAAGGAGGTCCTCGTGAATTCAAACACAAGTGCAGGTTAGATGAGCAGAAAGATAAAAAGCACCGTCGGGTACATTCACATGCATCCATTGCTTTAGAGACATGCCTAAATATTTGTTCTGCGTCTTTGCTTACTTGTTACAAACCACCTCGACCGTCTACACTTAGAGACACGATTGACTTTATTGTTAAAATGCTGTAAAGACGTAATGCCAAAGGAGAGAGTGGTAACGGCAGCTACTTCAATCTCCGGGCCAGAACAGCCCTATAAGTAGGTAATAGTAATATATTTATGATACTTTTTAATGACTTTGGTCATTTAGGGAAGTTGAACCCACAGGGTGAAGTGTGAAGGGACACTGTAAATAACCAAGATGTCTCTTACTGGTGAGTCTTTACTAGTGCGATATACATTTCCTGGCATGTTTTTAATCTCGTTATATTCCTACTGTAAATGTTTACCTCAGTTGCCAGTTCATTGGGTACAACTATCTGAAACTAATGCTTTAACACCACAGCGCAGCAATAAATCCTACCTACGGGCAGTGGAGGAATGCTGGGTAAACGTTATGGATCTACTGGCTGCAAACGTCGCAGCTTAAGAGATCACAATTCAACAGCACCATCAAGTGCGGCCTTCTAATAGACAGTGGAGTCAAATCGACACATCTAAAACACTCCCAACCATGAGTGTATGTACCTTTTGTCGATTTTATCTTGCCACGGTTTGTTAAACTGAAAGGATTCATCGCTTGTCCGTGGTATTGGACTGCATTAGTTTTGGGGTTTCTGATGAATTGGCTTTAATTCTGTTTCTGAACCATTTAAGTAAGTGCTTTGTTCTTGTTGGAGGGAACCACAGTGCACATGTTGTCACCCACAAGCTTTCATTTGGCAGTTAAAGGTGACGCCAGCTGTTTAAACAAAGACCGCATCAGAAACGTTACTCCCCATCCTTGAGAGACGGGCGTTGACATGTAGGAGTTTTGCAGACGTCACCTTTAGAATTTCCAGTGCATTATGGTGGCCGCTGTCGCTGAGGGAAGTTTCTGTGAAACCGGAGCATGAATGGTTCCTTTTTTAATTCTGGTTGAGCAGCTCGGCCTTTTCGACCACACGCTGCTCCTCGTCCATTGACTGCTCAGTGCTAATGCTCCTTTCTATTCAAGTGTTCGCACACCACCAAGAGCAGAAGGAGAAACCGGAGCAGTGGCACACTGTACAGAACTACGGTGCCACAGATTTGAAATGAAAATTAAAGATTTTATGTTTTTTAATGACTTTGTTGACTATGGTGTTTACTTTCCAAGTTATGCGTGTCCCGTTTGTGGATGATTGAAAGTAAAAGAGTAACTGATATGGTAAAATGTCTGACTGCATGTTATTTTGTGTGTGTGTGTGTGTGTTTCAACGGGACGGTTGTAGTTGTCAGCAGTTTGTTGATACAGCATGTTAACCAATGTGTTGCAAAGTGCACTTTTTAAAGCCTGGTTAACATGTTTCAAGGTAAGTTTGTCACCTTTTCTCTCTCTTTTTACACACACACACACACACACACACACACCCTGATATCTGTAACTCTTTGTTCTCCTTTCAATCGGTCATTTCCTCAAATTGGTGTATCCATTTTTGGGAATAATTGAATTGTGTTAGATGATGTCTGACTGGCTGTTTTTATTCATCAAATCAACAGAAAAAGATGATGATTACTTTATGCTGTGCCATCATTGGAATCGTTGGATTCTCCTATCTCTACAGCTTCTTCTCATAAAAGGGTTCTTATGCAGGTAAAACACCTGCGTCAGCCTTTAACACTATGCATTGCCTTATTTCACACTGAATGTTAAATAAGCTCATTTTTTTTTATCTTTGTAGTGTTTCTATGGGAGTGTCAAAGAAAAAAAAGGAAAGTTTCCTAAAGTGCTTCCCCGTGTCTACCCTTACTGTTACTTCAATCTATTTTAAAATCTCGTAAGTATTTAAAAAGGAATTGAAACACATCTGTCCTGTGCACTTGACCTTTTGTTAATCTTTTTGAATAATTTTCTTACTGTATGAAGTGTTTGAAAACATGTTATAAATGTATAGCTTTTTCTCTGTCTGCCTGTTCATTATCCAGATGGCTTAACATCAGGCGTAACATCGTTTTTGCACCATTCTGGTCGGTTGTGGTCGACCGCCTCCCGGTGGTGCTTAGAGAGGATTGGTTTATTGTCGGGAAGTTATTTCGAAAGATTCATTTAAAAAAAAAAAATTTTCTTGTAACATTTCTTGTATATGTTGTTGGCTCCAAAGTCTATTCATGTTCATGCACAATTGTGCGCAGGTCGAAAATATAATTTTAAGTGTTATTTTCTGACATGTGTTGTTATAATTTGAATAAATTCTGTGTGGTTTTGTTGGGTGTGATCTGTCTGTATGCACTGATGGTCTTTTCCGTATCCGCGGCTTCCACCGGCTCACTGGCTGCGTGTCAAGCCTGTAAAGCCTGTTATGTAATAAATGATTTCTGTGCGTTATTGTACCAATTGTGTGTGTGCTTCGCTTCCTGTGTCAAATGGTTCTTCGTGGCTCAGTCTGTATGCATGGGCGGCTTATTAAAACCGTACACCTTTCTCATTTAAATCTACGACTAAGCTACGGGAAATGTACGGCGAGGCACCGTTTGACATATGTGTATGAACGGCTTCCCTGACCTCATTTCAGTCACCATCGCGCTCTTCTTGCGAACCATTGGTCCGCCCGGCCCATTGACAACCCATGGGGGCGAGGTCTAAACAAGGATGCGCTCCTTTTGTTCCTTCGCGTTTGCAGGATAAATTCTTTTTGGAATGCAAATTAGTTTAAGCTTACGTTTGATCATCCCCAAGAAGGAGATTTATTATTAGAGCAGCACAGGAACATAGTTTCAAAATACTGTTTACTATTAATCTTTCAAGATAGTACTAAGCAGGTACTATTTCTAATCAACATTGAAATGCAGATCGCATGCTAAATGACGATCAAATAAACACCGGTGGTTTTTGCGTAATGAGTAGTTTTGATACTTCAATAAATTTAGTTGAAAATACTACCTTCAATTTACGTATGTTTACAGTAAATGTACAGGAAACGATTCCTTACATAACCGCTAGACCGGGTAAGAGAAATCAAGCACACCCGTAAATTAACATATTCTAATCTGGTTGACAGACAGGTGTCGTGGCCAATGGGAACACTACTATGCAAATGTTTTGGCCATAATATAAATAGGGGGGTGGATCTGGGTCGTCTTTTTTTCTTCTCCGTGTGTTGTGTGTGTGTTTTCTCACCAGCTGAAAATGGCGGCTCGGAGCGTCGAGTCGCTCTAACTTTATCGCACAATAATAAAGACAAGAACATACACGGCCGTTATTACATAACATGGGGAGAAACTTTACTGTGAGACCTCAGACGCTCTAGCCGGGAAATATCACTCTTACCACTACGGCTAAAGGAGTTGAAACGCAGAGGTAATTGAAGAAACGTACAACTGCCGTACGGAGGCTAATGTCAGCCTGCTAGCTAGCGTTAACGTTCGCCGAAGACTTAAGAAAGGGATGCCATCTGAGCTAGTTTACGTTAACTGACAAGTCCAGTTCGCTAAATAACGTACTAAAATTGACACGACGGTCGAGACAATTGATTGTACCTTCTGTCGGCATGTGTCCCCATAAAGCCACTTGAGTTTAACGTTAAATGTTTTGCGTTGTGTTGCTAACCTCCGGTAGCAATGTTTGCTAACGTTAGCATGGCTACCTAGCTAGCGTTAGGCTCCACTCCAAGAGAGATGTGTGTGTTTCTGTCCAACATAATGTAAAAACACTCCCGTATACACTTTTAACACCAGCTGGCTGTTCAAGCGATGTGATTTCACGGTGCCGCCGATACTTTGTTTGTCTTCTAGAGAACATGGAGGACCCGCATACACGGTACAGCAAACGCCTGGTGAGTAACGTTAACTTAACCCAGCGGCTTCCCGGACAACTTGGTTTTATGTCCAACCTTTACAACGTATCGCCTGTTGCGATGTATTTCAGTGTGTTTCATACAAGATGTGGGGGATGTCGGGCCACCCCACAAAAAAACACACGAAGCAGTCCGGTAAATGGTAATCATAGTTAAGCGGGTTTGAATGGCCTTCTTGTTTTTGTCTTTCTGTTCTGCGCGTGACCCTTAAAAATGCGATGAAGCTGTCTTTAAAAGACTGAGTTCAAGCGAAGGTCAAGTTCACTGTCTAACCTGACGGCTTTTGTGCTGTAACCTTGTCACCTCACAGTTATCCCCCTGTAGTTACTCAGATATAAGCACATTTACTCAGTGCTTTCTTACTTCTCGGTGTGTACTCGGATTTATCTTATTGATACTGGGGGTTGATGTGATCAAAATATACTTTTCTAAATATATATTCAAAAAGGTCAATGTTAATTTACGTTCCGTTTTGGAAAGCATGTCCAGGTCCTGCCTGCGGAAGACCCCAAAAGTGATCAAAGTCGCCCAGTAAATTGTTTCATAATGTTGATCAATTTATCCCAGTTGTCATCTTTGTGACTCTTTATGAGAATAACCGTGTTGCTTTCGCGGTATTCCATTCTTTTCAGTTGCAAAGTGAAAAAAGATACTATGCAGTGCTCCGTTATGAAAAGGATGAGTATCAGAGTTTACATAAAGCCACATTTTTTGATGGGGGTGGGGAGATCTCAGAGCAGGGGTGTTTATCCATCTGTCTAGCCAAGCAGGGCTGCGTAGGGTGAATGGCTGCATGGGGAGGGGGGGAGAAGGGGGCAGTTGTGGAAGATTAATCCCTGTTGTTGTAATGCTGTATTGTTTGTGTCACGTAACCTTTGGTATTTGCAATCCGTGATTTGCTCGGATTCATTTATCTGCTCGGCTTAATTTATTGTGATAGGTGAAACTGTGATTTTTATCACAAATTAGGACCAATATATTAGAGACAGCTCCATTGGATGTCACCTCATATCTTAGCAATTAGATCCAAGCATTTTTACAATACATTCAGCTATGTTGCAAATGTTTCTTGGTATTTTTCATCTTTTGGCTCTTTAAAAAAAAAAAGTTATACCAATGTTAGTCTGGTGAAGAAATGTGATAATAGTTTTTCATGGTTTAAGTTGATCTTGACATCGGTATCGCTGTTAGATAAATTTGTTAATTGCACTGAAATATCTTAACATATTTTTCATGCTTCGGCGTAGAGGTTAAAAGAACTTTGTTTTCTGTGCTCAGCGTACAGGGACGCGTCGCCGCTACCAGGACGATGGAATCTCAGATGATGAAATCGAAGGGAAACGGATGTTCGACCTGGACGAGAAGCTGGAGTGTGTCAGGTTTAAATCTGACTTGGTCAAACACATGGCTGGTAAAGGTGAGAGGTTTCAACACATGTTCGAGATTTTTGGAATATATTTTCAATAAAATCTGCCTGAATATATCTGCCATGCAGGAAACTGAGGCGGTAACAAAAAGTATTTGTTCTACACACCATATTGTTTGGAAATCCTTAAGACTGTTGATCGGATAAAAGTGTCTCTCAAAGTTTGTATTGTATAATTTAAGTCTCGTTGTCGTGACGTGATAATTTACCCGATGCAAGTATGTGTTTTTTGATATCTGTTTGACTGTGTGTGCGTCTCATTTCCAGATTTCACATTCGAGTACATCCAGAGGGAAGGACTCCGAGACCCCATTATCTTTGACACGGCTGACGGCCTTGGCATACAGTCAGTCGCATTCCTTTGCTTTTTGTTTCTTGTAAAGATACACACTTTGTCATTGTCATATGGAGTCATGTGTTGTAGCTTTGTTTCCAATCAAATTCCCATAAAGCTGTTTTTTTCTTTTTCTTTTTTCTTGGGAATAAAAATAAATGTAAACATTTACATGGACTTCCTCTTTCTTGCAGAATGCCAGACCCCGATTTCAGTGTGAGTGATGTCAAGTTGTTTGTTGGTGAGTTCCTATTTTACTCCCTTCCTGTTTAAATGGCTTTGCTTTTGTACACAAAATGCCTGTCTTATAGAGCGTATTACCATGTTCCAAATAAATTGGTAAATATTCAGGCCGATCAGTAACAAGCAATAACCCCCAGGGAACTGCTAAACTATTGAGTGTCCCGCTCGGTGTGTATCTCAGTATTTATCCATGAAAAAAGGATTTCTACCAAGGTCAAATGTTTGCTCATGTAAAAACATGATTTAATTTAAACAGGTGATTATTTTGAAACCCCTGAATATCCGTATTGGCCTAAAAAAAAATAGTATGACCTGGCTATAGTTACTTTGCTATTTGATCACAAATGTGTAACATAAAATGAGTTGATCTATATTTTAGGGCATATAAGATTTAATTACATTGGTAACGGAAGTTTAACCACTTTCGATTCTCTTACAGGGAGTCGACGCATTGTAGACGTGATGGACGTGAACACCCAGAAGGGAATCGAGATGTCGATGGCTCAGTGGCGACGCTACTATGACACCCCGCCGTCTGAAAGAGAAAAACTCTACAACGTCATCAGCCTGGAGTTCAGCCACACCAGGCTGGAGAATCTGGTGAAACGTCCGGCTTCGGTGAGAATGCACCACACGCTGTCTACAGCAACCCAGATGTGCGCATTCATAATGTTCATTTATAATGTACACTTATTCACACATATCTGTAAGACACAAATGTTTTGAGAGAATCCCATCTAAGTCAGATGAGCAGGACGGGCTACGTATCCTAATAATCTGACAGATACTTTGGCTCTGGCTTGATCCCAGGAAAGTTACTATTTGTCTACGTAGAGATGGTGGTGTTCGTTATTATAGAAACTGGGGTTTGGTGCAGAATTTTGGAATGAATGTATATTCTGTTCTCATTAAACAGGTGGACCTTATTGACTGGGTGGACAACATGTGGCCCCGCCACCTCAAGGAGAGACAGAGAGACTCCACCAATGCCATCATAGAGATGCATTATCCCAAAGTACAGAAGTGAGTAAACCAAGGACCTCAGAAACAAATGACATATGCTGTGTTGTAGATCAGATACAGTACATAAAAATCCACATCGGTAATATTCTTAATCCAATTCAAAGTGATTTCATGGCTAAAATCTGCATTGTGTGTCATGTCCTTCCTTGACTCCCCGTAGGTACTGTCTCATGAGCGTGCAGGGCTGCTTCACAGATTTCCACATTGACTTTGGAGGCACTTCAGTGTGGTACCACATCCTGCGAGGAGGAAAGGTCAGTTGGTCAAAGTTTCTCCTTCACGTCCCACGAATACACATTAATGCCATGGATCCATTTGTTGACCCCAGATCATCCACATGACCTTTCACCTGTGATCCCTGCAGGTGTTCTGGCTGATTCCACCCACACCATCAAACCTGGATATGTATGAGAACTGGGTTTTATCTGGAAAACAAGGGGACATCTTCTTGGGGGACAAGTGTTATGACTGTCAGAGGATCGAACTCAAGCAAGGGAACACCTTCATAATC